ATGCCCTCCAGACTTTGTAGGGTAATTGTTGTTGACGTCTGGCTCGTCGATACAATCCTCGGCGTGCAAACGAGCTTTGTCGTTGGGCGAGTTGCACTCAACAAGCGCTCGCTGATGTTTGCAGTCGACTTGCCTACTAACATCAACGTAACCATGAAGGGGTGCGATAAGAAATACGAGCTTTATAGCTTTACCTCGAAGTGAGTGCGCACGAACGGAGGTGTTCCGAGAAGCGCGTAAAAAATACTTTTCGCATTCACTGCCTGACAGCTCGCTAACCCGAAGTAACGTAAGAAACACAAGAAATAGGTTTTATCTGCAAGAGGAGCTCTTCGATTTCAATTCATGCAAATTGTGAGCCCATTATTATAGCACAATTTTACTCGAAAGTCGGGTAACTTAATAGCAACGTGAATATTTTCACAAGGGGGAAATCCGCTGGGACATCAAGCGTTGAATCTTGATCGAACCAAAAAAAGTGTTTGTTATGTTTGATTGGTGAAGACGTTACTCAATTGTCATTGCACTTGTGGTACCTTCCCTATAACCCACCCTTGATGTTATAAAAACTGTAGCAGTGGCAATTTGAAAGTTATTGCCTTGAGGCGGTGTGCGTGTGGGTGTAGATTGAAAGACATTTAACACCTCAAAAGTGCTGCCTGCTGCTCGGCTTACATTCGATACCTACTTGCCGCTAAGGTGTAAGGTGGTGCGAAATGGAATTCGAAATTTTTTCGAAGAGCTTGTGTACGCTTGGCCTCTGGAGTGATGTAAAAATACACTTCGTGCGCAGCTTATAGCTGTATAAACGCAGGGGTGCGAACGCACCACGTCGTTTTCTTTTTATTGCATTACCGCGATGAAAATACACCAAAGGTGACAAGTGCCGCAATGAAGTTACGCGTTATGGAATTTTAGCCATTTTTACTCGCGGCGAGTTTTTACCCCGCCTAGTGTGGATTAAAATTTCGCCACGGTGACAGTGTAATTTAAATAAATCAACCTTTATTCCACCTGACGAATTCTACCCGCAAGGTTTCTCTTGCCACGTGGAGTCAAAAAACAAAATAAATTCTTGGTCATTCTATTTCAAAGTAAGCACACTTGCAGGCCATCCTAGTAGGCTGAGGTCGGTAAAAGATTTATTTCTTTTTGCCAGTTTCTCTTTGGACGGCTTTTCCTGTTTTGTTGTTTCACTTGTTCGGCAAGTGTGAGATTTGAAGTGTCCAATTCCGACAATCGGCGTAAAGTCCTAAGTCTAAAGAATCGATCAACGGATAATCCTGCGGGAGCGCTCCCCATCTTAGACCCAGCTATGTTTACAAGCGACCCGCCATGAAACGACAGCTGGGATTCGACTTTCCAATCGCCTCGGCTTCGTTTTACAGCGCGCACGGTCAGTTGACGTTTTTATTCGTGATTGGATCCGTCCGGAGCGCGACCATCCATCCATCCTGACTAGATGTCGCAATGGCCATCATCTTTTCCAACCGCGCGGCGTTTGCGCATGTGGCACAAGTATGATAGATGGTATTTATTTTTAATTTGCGCGACGACCACTTTCAAGATGATGAATTGAGGCATACATCTTGCGCGCCACGCTATTAATACATTTTAACCGTCAATCAACCCCCTCTTGGAAAAAGTCGTTTAATTGAAATTCGGTGCCGAGCCATTAGCCGACGTCAGGACAGGACACTTCCTTGCGTTGGTATTATTAATAAAAACTGTTGACAGCCAATCTCGAATTATTAAAAAGGCACAAACGAGGAGCTTAATTGAAAAAGCGCGCATTAAAATTATTTTCCCATAAGCGAAATCGGATTAGATCGTTGCCTTTAACATTGGCGGCAGTGAGGGTGGCAAAAAGCATTTTTCCGGGCTTTGTGCATGCGCGCTCCTGTCGTTGACGCCGACGGAGAGTTTGTCCTTTGATCACCGCGCTTTAATACACCAAACAATAAATTGAAAAATTTTCACTTTAAAAACGCTGACTTCAAATAGCAAAATACGGGTGACAGCTTGGATCAATAATTTTAAAAAGCACTTTCAATAATTACGCTTTAAATTTTTAATACGTTGTATGTATGAGTGTGTGTTGTCACTGTCATCCATTAAACTCGGCGCGTATGTAAGCACTCATGTCACCAGAAAATCTTATAACAAACTGTCACGCATGCATTGTGATGGACGACAAGAGGGTGAATAAAATATGAACGACGTCACACTTTTATATAAGGATTAAAGTGGAGGAGCCGGGCGACGCTGGAGGGCTGCTAATGCGTGTAAATAAATCATTGTGGAGTCGAGATGCAATTTAACTTCGTAGTCTTTTCTACTTCCGTCGCGTGGGTGGTGGTTTTTGCTCGTGTTACTTTTGGGGAATTAACGGGCGAATAACAAAAAATGCAACCAAAAGCGAAATATTATACGTTTCGCTCATAAAGCCGGCTCGTTAATTCAAAGGTGTGCGAACAGGGCGCGCGTGTTTTTCCTTGATGTTCGCGCTGAATTAAAATGACATGTGTCAGGCGCCGAGGCTGTTTCTGCGTAACATGGCAGCCGGAAAATATGGAGTCAAAGTAAAATGCGAGCGAAAAAGTTCAAAGCACGTAAACGTCTACGTGTCTACATCAGTTGCAGGCGCAAATCCACACGACGCACGTGTATGTGTCGGTGTATTTGTGCATAGACGTCAAAACTTGCTTATTTGCCACCTTTCGGTAGACGCTTATAAACTCGGTGAGTGTGGGTGTGTGCCGGGAACGTTTTGCATGTCATGTAAAATTGAACCAATCAACGTTTATTTTTATTAATCGCACGACGGCACGACAAAACAAACTTATTTCGGAAACATCACGCGCTTTCAAATTTCACATTTCTGTATGCAGGTGACGGTTTACTTATTAGGTGTCACAAATCTTACAATGCACAATAAAAATAATACCTACCTAACAATTTTAACTTGTACAATATCAATTATTTCATCAATCACAGAATTAAATGACCAGTTTCTTAAAAAATCTGATTCTTTGTTAAAGGAGTAGTTTTGCTTTTGATTTTCTAAGGTGATACACATTAAAGCTTAAACAATAAATCAGTTTTCGGTAACATGAGTTTCAAGTACCTAACAAGAAGCTTTGCTATGTTTACATCATAAACTCGCAAACTTCCCAACTCGCAAACAAATTCCTTATTGTCCAGCAAGGCGGCAGCTATCGTTTATCAAGCGCCGTAAGGTTGCCAGAATCTTGCAACCTAAGACAGGTTAACGCAGAGAATTCAGATTGCAGCTGCACTCTTCGAGAAGCGAGTGTCTCTCCCTCTGGCGAAGATAAATAACCCCTTGGTAATTGCGTGCGGAGCGATACTATATTTCATGCGCCCATAACTTGCGAAGGTAATTACGATGAGTGTGTCGTTTATCATCGATGCGAGGAGTCGTGGAACGCGAGAAGCGATACTGTTTTGTGAGACAAGCGTCACGATTGTAATAATCGAGGTTGAATTGATACTGCAAGCAATAATAATAGTAATGGTTTATTAAATTTTGACTTTGATAGAAAACGTTTAATTTATTTTACGGAAGTTGTTATAAAAAGGTTTTTTGAAGGAGTTTTGGTTTTAAATCGAATCGGACACGTGCAAAGCCTGGATGGCGAGCCAGACAATCATAAAAAGCTTGTTATAAAGTGCGCACAAAGACGTTTCACCATTCCCTGGCGACTGTGGCGTAATTCTGGATTTTTTAGAAGGTCTCCTCAGGTCGGTTACTTTTTTCGTATTAACCGTAGTCCGGGGATATAATGGCAGTAGATCTACGCCGTCCAGGTCGGACGCTACTACCCCTCGACGCGCTCGTATGTTCAGGGATGCTATATATTGCCGACGGGATTCGGAGTTATATAGGTGTTGACGACCCGGCGCGCCCGTAATTCCGCGCACTTTGTCGACGCTAGTTTATATCCTTGGTCTATTGTCGTGCGGTGGCCGGGTAAACGCTCCCAGAGGTCCGCAATTAATCCACTCGCAATCCTGCCGCAGTTAACAGGATGCCGGAATTGTCGGCGCGGCGCGCAACCTCGGTTAGTGGTCAAACTCGTAGATTTTGGAGGTCGGAGATTCGCCGCCGTTCCATCCTCAAACCGCAACAATTTCAAATCCCTTTAGCGTTACAACGCCATTACTTAATTAGATTTTGATTTTCTCATCACTGTCATATTTTTTTAACAGGTTCATTTCGGCAATAACAACAATAACAATCATGCAATTTATTTATTTATGAAATTCGGAAAATTGAATGCACAAAAACATATTTTATTTACAGTTAAATTAGAGTTGTGTTGTTTTGAGTAGTAATAAATAAATGTTTTTCGAGTGAATATAATGTTTCCGATTTGGGCGAAACGGTTGGCAATCGATGATTTTCAATAACTTTCGTTAGGATCGTAAATTTTCCCCGGCCGACGTGTTTTGCGCCGCGCTGATAGATAAATATTGAGTTAATCGAAAAACGTCAATCACAATACCACACTAAAATGCAGTTTTATTTGATAATAAAATATTGTGCAATACATAAAAAGCGATCATCCCGTCCGCTCCTGTCGGCACGCCGTTGCCGATGATGCATAGGTCGATTTCGAAAGCTAATCATTTATTTACGTGTCCCGGCAATAATTTATGTGTTTCATAAAAATGCACACAATTCACCAGCGAAGCAGCAAAACGGCCGACACTCCGACGTGTCTGCAAACAAAATGAAAAATGTCGCGCCAAACGCGTTATGTTATGAAATGCTCGTAAAGCAATATTTGCGAGCGCCTTCGTCGTCTTTACAACACAGCGAAGCATTTTTATTTTATTCGAAACGTATATAACTTTATTATTTTCCTATTATAGCCTTTGCCTTAAGAAGATAATAGTTTCCTGAGTGATAAAATTAATTTTAGCAAAATAAGTTGAATAAAATGTTTTTTTATAATAAAATTTTATTCTTGCAGGATGCTATGTTCTACGTCATGTAGAAAAATAGTTGACACGAGAAATTCGTTTTTCCCGTGCTGGAAAAATTCATATAAAAAGCCGGCATTTCATCCAGAACAAACATCGAATGAAGAAGCACGAACGCCGAGGGGATATAAATGAGTCCACGCCGACAAGCCGCCATTAGGGCCGCATTAAACTTGTCACTAAAAATTTACAAATCATTATTCATTCGGATCCCATTTAACCGCCGCCGATTTCGAAGTGCTTTACACTCGTTTCCTCCGGAGGCAATTTCATCGCGCCGCATCTCGTGACAGAAAAGCGGGGATTTCTCGGCTTGGCGCGTTGAAAACGAAAATTGTTTGACGCCGACGACAATAAATAATATTGTATTACTGGCTCAAATTTTCATATCCGATTAATTGCTGACTTCAAAGTAAACTTGCGTAACTCAATCTATGCTCAATTCGAACGTGTGCTCGCACAAATCGAAGCGCAGCAAATTTATCTAGGTTTTTGTCAGTCTAGTTTATTGCGTGGCTTAGTTTAGTGCGCAGAACGTGAGCGAACGCAATTTCGATGGTGAACAGTAAAACCGTCAAGTTTAGTGATGAAAAATCACCGCCGCCGCAGCCGTTTCAGGAGCCGGAAGGCATGACGGACATCGATCTGAGACGTCTTTCAGAAATGAGTGCTTTTTCAGGTAACTGCTTTAAACGGCTTGTATGTTTATTAGTTACTAATCTAATTTGTATAAATCACGACACGTTAGATTCAAGCTTCAAGAAATTCGACACGAAAATCGCGCGTAAAGCACTATGCAAAACGTTATTCATTGCATCGTGTGTGGGTTGTGGCGTGTTGTTGATCTTTCTGCTCACGTCCAGCCGCGGCGCATCGTTCAAGAAGCTCTTTCACATCGAACGCCATCCACAGGCCGATGTTGATGAATTAGTCTCCTATTACATCGAGAAACTCAACCGGTGTAAAATTGATAAAACGCTCGAAGCGTGCTGTTCGCTCTTCACGAGCGGCGGCGGCGCGGCGCAATTCGCGCTGCAAGATTGCACGGTCGATAAAATCGTCGAAGCTATCGAACGGCACGAATTGAAATCGCCGTTAGACTTCGACGACGGCGATGCATCAGCGTCAGCGAATTATGCTCGGCCGGTGAATGCCGCGTCGGATTACGACGAAGTGGATCCGTACGACGATTACATAGAGCCGGAATTCATTCAACGATTCCTGCAGGACTCGCTCGATATAATTAAACGCGAGCACTTTAACGACTTGAAGAAGAACCATCCGCAGGCGTTTAATGACCCGTTTAACACTGTCGTTGAAATCAGCACTTTGCTTCATCCCTCCGACGCTGAGCATAGAAAAAACGATGTAACATCTTTGAGGAAATCAAAACGGCAGACTCCACCACATCATGGTAATCGACATCCACATGTTCCTCAAGGGCAGCCAGTGCGAGGCGATCAACCTATTGATCAACGACCAAATCCAAACCCAAATATGAACTTTGATGGACGTCCACCAAGACCACCACATATGAGACCACAACAACCCATGCCGTCATCTCAACAACCACAACCAATATCACCACCAGAACAACCGCAGCCCATGATACCACCTCAAGAACCACAGCCCATGCCATCTCCAGACCAACCGCAACCCATGCCGCCCTCTCAACAACCACAACCTATGCCATCCCCAGAAGAACCCCAACCCATGTGGCCACCACCAGAAGAACCACCCATGTTGCGAAATTCGCCACCATCATATTTAAATCTAAATTACAATCAACATATGCAACAGAACCCACATTCAAGACAAGGTCCCGAATTTCAACCATCATTTCAACATCTCCATCATCAAAATCGTGCACATAACATCATAATGCATGAGAACCATGGCTCCCAGAAAGTTTCTCAAGTATTAAATATTCATCCAATTTATGACAATTTTGTTGGGGCAGCTTCACCTGATATTCCAAATCTTGTACCAGTAATTGAAAAGGATCCTGCTAATCAAGGCATAATTAAAAACATTGTAACAGTTTTCAATGAAAACAATCTAAAAGAAAGGTTTAATCCGAAGGTACGCTTGAACGGGGACAATAAATTAGGTCAATTCACTTCCGCCAGTGAGAACATCCAAAGTTCTCAACAGACTTCCCTCAATCCCACTTTCACACAAGCCCAAAACCCCTGCATCAGCACCTACACTCCGCAAGTCGGATCGCCACTATCGCTTGTCCAACAACAAGTTCCCCTTTCTTACGACCCGTCGCCGAAGTTCGCGCAACTGGTGCCGATTTCGATACAACGAAATCAGCCACAACCGTATGTCATCAATCCGCAAATTACTTACTTATCCAATTACCAAGTGCCTATGCAGCAGTCTATTGTTCCCAATCTCGCCGCTCAAGTCCAGCCGATGAACAATGCCGGACCCTATTACATCTGCAATCCCATGACAACATCAACAAACAATATAGCTGGTCTGAGCGGAGTGGAAGTGCGATCCGACGATGTTCATTTATTAGCAACAAATGCTAGAGAAAGGTATGTAATCTAAATGTGCATGTAACACGGCAATGTTTGGAATTGATTGATTGAATAATTATTACAGCAATAGGGCTCTAACTAGACAGTCGGACCAGTGTGGAATTGGACAAGAAATTTGCGCTGACAACTCAAAATGTATTAGTAGTAAACGTGTCTGTGATGACACTATCGATTGTGACGATGGCAGTGATGAAGCTTACTGCTCATGCAAATTCCGGGTTGGGGCAAATCGAAATTGCGATGCGTACTTGGACTGTCCCAATGGGGAAGACGAAATTGGATGTTACGGTATAGGCTACCTCCTAATTTAATATTTATTTAATTAATATAAACTTAAACGTACAGGGTGTAGTTCATCGACATTTAATTGCGATGATTGGTCCTACTCTCGTTCAGCAACTTGTATTCCACTGAAACAACGTTGTGATGGTATTGCCCAATGTCCCACTGGAAAAGATGAAGAAGAATGTTCGGTTCTATTAGATTCTGTAGAAATGACATCTGATATTTTCAAGGTATCTAACATCGTGGGTTTCTTACATCGTAATTACCGTGGTACTTGGTATCCGGTATGCAGCAACGGCGAGATGTGGGCAAAGGAAGCATGCACCAACCAAATGGGCTCAACTCGCTTGTATGTTGAAAAAGATTGTGTTGCACTACATTATAGGGTGAATTACACAGTATGTAATGTTTGCAGACCACCGCTGGTTCAACCGCTGCCAATTAATTACCCCTACAAGGGTGAATTCATTCACGCCGCGGACGACAATGCGGTTCGCATTACCGAAGGATGCCTGGAGAATCGCGCAGTGCGTGTGGAATGCGCACCGCCGGTATGCGGCATGCGGCAAATCACAACCAACTCATACAGGCCGGAAGAGGTCGACACCAGCGCTGAGGAGATCGTCGCTCAATTCAGCCACTACAGGGACGTGCGGGACGCCAACCAGCGGGACGGTAATGATACGCTTTTGGGTGAAGGAAGGGTTGTCGGTGGGAAAGCTTGTCAACCGGCGGCGTGGCCATGGGTGGTATCGATTTACAAAAACGGAGCGTTCCATTGTGGTGGTGTTCTCATTTCCGATTCTTGGTTGATCACGGCCGCTCACTGCGTTGATAAGTATGCTGGATAACATTACACTTGGGAGTCTTATACATTCAATAAGGGTAGTGTACAAAAAGTGTTTATGCATGATTGATTATTTAGGTATTGGCATTACTACTACGAGGTTGAACTGGGTATGTTGCGGCGGTTTTCGTACTCTCCCATGCAGCAAACCCGCTTTGTAACGGATGTCATCGCGCATAGTGGTTATGACAGGGCCAATTTGAAGAACGATTTAGCTATGATGAGGTTGAATGCACCGGTTAAATACAATAGGTATGTTAGGCCTATTTGTTTACCTACTGAGGTGACAGCCGGGAAGGATTATGACAAGGCGCCACTACCTGGAACTGTTTGCACCGCTGTTGGATGGGGTGCCACGGTTGAACATGGCTCCGATCGTAAGTTTCAATCTCTTTCTAAGATGTTCTCATTAATATGCTAAAATGTCCATCAGCTGACCATTTGAGGGAAGTCGAGGTACCAGTTTTGTCATATTGTAAACACAAGGAAGATGCTGAAGGTAACGAGATTTGTGCTGGGCTCCTTCAAGGAGGTAAAGATGCTTGTCAAGGCGACAGTGGTGGGCCATTCTTATGCCGCAATCCAAACTCTCCTGACCAATGGTACCTAGCTGGTATTGTAAGTCATGGAGAGGGATGTGCACGTCCCAATGAACCTGGTGTATATACTAGGATCAGTTTGTATATGGATTGGATTTATGACCATGCTAGTAAGTTTCATAAACATTTCTTTGAGAATTTGTTAGAGTACCAATTTGGATGTTTAGGAGATGACATGGTACCTCAGAGAAAACCCCTTCACAAATGCCCTGGCTACACATGCAAGAGCATCAGAAAATGTATTCCCATGAAGCGACGTTGTGACAAAACCGTTGATTGTCTCTATGGTGATGACGAAATTGATTGTGAAAACCACCATCGTTTCTCCTCGCTCTTCAAACACGCGATGCATGCTATGATGCTAGAGCGCAAGGACGAAGACATAGCAACAAACGATGACGTTGCTGATATGTCGTCGAAAGTGGCAAAGACCAAGACGACAAACGGCACCTCGAAGAATTACGCCTCATTTGCAAGTCCTGCCCCAATATCTGATCACGACAAGTTCATAACTAATGCAACCAACGATGAATCTCAACACTTGCAGCGTAACCACAATGAAGACACTGCAAATGCCAGCGCTATTGTAGCTGCTGTGCATGGCGACGCTCCGAAAACGCAACGATTTTTATGTAAAAAGTTAGTATCTTTTTTACTGCCGCTCGCATTCCATGACTCGCCTCCTCGCCTCACCGCTATCTTTATTATTTACACAATTGCACTGTCTCCACAGTCCCCTCTCGCCGATAAAACTTCTTAAAACAGTTTATTACGCTCACAAACGCGCTTATAAATAGCCGCCGTTGAATGTTATGATAAGCCAAAAAGATTTATGCGACGATATTATTATGCAGGATGCTCCAAGTGATACCCATATCGAAGCGCTGCGACAAGACTATCGATTGTCAGGATGCCACCGACGAGCTGGGCTGCTCCTGCGCCGACTACTTACGCTCCTCGCACGCCGACGCCATTTGCGATGGGACTACCGACTGCGATGACATGTCGGACGAGCGCGATTGCGGTAAGCGACCGACTTATTTGAATATATGAATATCCGAATAAATTGTGTGCACACGAAAGTTGTTAACGCGGCGACAAAACGCTCTTACACAATGTCGGCGGTGTTTATAAATTGTTGAAATTTACGAGCGAACAAGTGCTCCATTGCGTCGTTGAAATTGAATTTTATTGGAACAATTCCACGATTTCGAGCTAATTTAAAATATAAATTGCACCTACACGCGCATCAACTTACGCATGAGAGACACAAATTTATGCGCAGGCCATTTAACAAACATCAAATGCAAACTGTAAACAAGAATTTCAAAGGCGCAAAGCAAAACTTTTCAGACGTGCTCGTAAATTAGTGGCTGCCATTCAGAGTGGTATTTAAAAAAGTTTTCATAAATTCCGTAAAAAACGTAGTGATATTTCATGCGGAGCAAGCAAAATCCGTGTGCGTTTGAAGTTGAAGTATTGTTAATTGATGCTATTTTTTGAAGTTTTTGACGGGAGATTTAAGTGGCAATTAGTTAAAACGCCCCTTCGAATTTGGAATTGTGTCGACCCTGTTTGTGCGTAGTAAATTTAGAAAACACAAAATAAAAACGCAGCTGCCATCGTATATTTCGTTTTCGTCTTCACGACTAATAACCAAAGATAATTTACGACCGCCGCGCGTATTTATATTTAATTGAGTGGAATTTTTTTACTCCCTGATTCTTTTTATGTCATGCGTTGGCTTGATACTAAATAATTTATTGCGCAAATGTGTTATTTGTACATATCATGTGATTGTGTGCGCAGATTCGTGCGGCCGTAAACATTTCCACTGTCGATTGAGCAATGTGTGCGTCCCCATCGAGAAACGCTGCGACAATGCACCCGATTGCCTTCACAATGAAGACGAATGGGATTGTTGTGAGTACATATAAGCACAAACACTAACGAATGTCAATGTTGAACTGAACTGGTAAATCTTTAAATGCGTATGTAGTTGCCTTAACGGCCAACAACACAATGAAGCTGGACGCCGACGCAAGACCCGCCGTCAACACCAGAGGGATTTTGACCTACAATAAAGCAGGAGAATGGCGGCCGATGTGCGGCAATTTTACAGGAATAGAAGGTCGACTTGCTGCTGATGTGTGCATCTCGTTAGGTTTCGATGACTACGAAAGATATCTACAGTTAGATGTGTTGAATGGTACTATTCAAGCAATCATTGAACACAACAATACCACCACCACTATTCAAGCACCCATATCTCAGAAGTTGGAAAATAAAACTGTAACAACCTGTAACGGTTTGTTCGTGCGATGCTCGAATCGCACGTCCACTTCTGTGCACGAATTAGGCGTCGAAGACAAATTGAACGCTCCGAGCGAACTTTATATGACGCCGTGGAATGCTGCAATCTATTCCGATGGCAAATTGAAATGCACCGGCGCGCTCTTGAACTACAATTGGATTTTAACTTCGCTGCAATGCTATGACGGAATACTCAAGTACTCTACATTCAAGTACAACATAACTTTTGCTTAACAATGAGATTATTCTTGCAGGCCAGCCGAGAACTACCTTGCCGTACGTTTAGGAGTTGGTAAACATCATCTGAATGTCCAAGGGCCGCATGAGCAAGTCATTCCTGTCCTGGAACGGATACGAGTATCTCATTCAGACGCAATTCTCTTAAAACTCGACCGGGATATTAAGTTAACGCGATATGTCAAGCCTCTGCACTTTCAAAAAAAGTAAGTGATTGTACTGACGTTTCCTGTTCCACATTGGTGTGTTGCAGGGGTGATTTTGTCCACTATCGCGAAACGTGTTTGGCGACAGGCCAGGGGGTCAACGAGACAACCAGTACGATTTTACTAAAGCCAGTGGAGAATTGCGAAAAGAAGAATTCACGATGTTTCAAACGATTGTATCCGTCTGACTGTAAGGTCGGTCTGAATATTGCATAAAAATCCTGAACTTGTTTATTCAATTACACAATATCAACAGGTCTCCACAGCGTGGAGCGGCTGCATAGTGTGCGACGCAGGGAGCGGCTTTTACCCGGCTGCGATTTTCGCTGAGCCGAGCGGCGAGTGCGGTTTCAGGCAGACGGGCGCTTATCCTAGCATGTCATTTATAAAACACGACGTTTTCCAGGCAATGGGTAAGCGATGAGACCGACCGTCGGCGTGAAAGGAAGTCAATTAATTTCCTTCCTTTCTATTCCTTGCATGAATAATGTGTAGCACGCAGTCCTTTTGTGGTCGACCCGCCCAAGTGCGACGGCTACAGATGTCCGCTGGGTGAATGCATCAGTAAAGGGAAAGTCTGCGATGGGATTCCCGATTGTAGCGATTCAAGTGATGAAAAGCCAGATATGTGTGAGCAACGGAACGTGGACTGCCATCTCACGAAGAGCTGTAGTAAGTATTGACGCAGTGGGGAGACTTGTTTTTCAAGACCTCTACGATTCGCTAGCACCTTTTAGCTACCTGCAGAACTCTGTAATATTGGTTTACCTTGAACATTTTAGTTTGTGCACCTGACGAGCTACGGTGCGCGAATGGCAACTGCGTGCATAAATCCAAATTCTGTGATCGCAGCAACGATTGTGGGGACGAGTCCGACGAGCCATCAAATTGCTCATGCCGCGAATACTTGAACCTGGTGGATCCTAAAAAAATATGCGATGGTATCCGTCACTGCAAAGATCGTTCTGATGAAGACCCTGAATTATGCACATGCCGTCCAGGTCTCTTCAAATGCACAGAGTAATTTATTATTTTACTCATGAACCTAAAAATCATGTCTAAACAATTAAAAACCTTGTAGCTCATTATCAGACTCTTCAAAAAGCCATTGTATCTCCAACGATATGGTCTGCGACGGTTACAAAGATTGCAAAGATAATTCGGACGAAACACAATGTTTTTCCTTGAGGACCCCAACTGATAAGTACATTAAGACTTTTTTTTAGAATTTTTATCATAAAAACGACTTAATTAAATTATGTTTAGAGAAAGAGTCGGTGAAGTCATGACACGCACGGCTGGCACATGGCACTCTGGTTGTTTTCCAGCCAAAATGCAGACCACCGAGTTGGAAGGCGTGTGTGAAGCACTCGGCTTTACCGGAAGTAGTTCTTCATACTGGAAGATCAACGCTACCGAAACCGAAGCGCCAAAACCACGATTGGAAAAGTTTGATCACTTCTGGGTGCACAATAGTAACACGACTGGGAAGTTGCTTTTAGCTACCCGATCCGGATTGAATCCATTTGTTACCTTTGTGAATGATCCCGGCAGATGCCACAAGTTATTCATACGCTGCTTATAAAGAAAATATATTACTAAGGCTACTATGTTAAATATGATTATCAAAATAAGTAAACGGATTTTTTACTTTACATTGATTATAGATTTTGTGCTAATATTAAGCGTATTGCTATCGCAAACGATCTGCGAATTTTCAAATTAACTCTTCACAGCTTTAAAGCTTAAATTTAATATGCTGGTAGCAGCTTGTGATAATGCGATTAGACGTGTCGATGGTTTATGATATTCACAGCGTGACTAGATTATGATATCGCAGGTAAATTTACAACCAATAAATTGGCCAGTATGCCTTCTTGGTCACGTTTCCTTCGCGCCTTTGCAGATTGCTGCTTTTCCCTGGTGTGAACAGGTGCCGAACGCTGACGAAACGCGATTAGCATTTTATTATCGCCTGGCTTATTTACACACTGATTTAGTCATAGAGGATGGACAGGATACGTGTGCGGCTGCGTGGCCGTTTGACGTCGAGGTGCCTGAGAGGTGTATTGGGCGGCCATCGACCTGAGAAACCGTTCTTCGGAATGGAATGTTGCTGCGTGATCCGCAAAGACCAAAACTATATAGGCGTCTATATGTATAGGTATGTATTACACTTGCAATCTTCACACAAGCCACATACAGGCGTAAAAGGTGCACGAAATTATTAATTTTGATTTTTATCACAACAATGACAATGATTTTGTATTCTGCGGACACGACGATTGCTCATATTTAACACTACACAGAAACGTTCGACTCATCGTTGATTGAAGTCGCCTTACTGGGATTATAAACCCGTTGTAGAGTTTAGAGTCACCGAAAAGAACATTTACATTCAGTCACTGAATGAAGCGCTGCTTGCCTTCTAATTAAAGCTTGCGTAACGTTTTTAATAATTATCGCGTTGTCTTTAAACTTTAAGACTTTTGGCGTTTAATTGCGGCTCATCTTTACAACCGCAGATTAATAATGGTTTTCGGTTTTTCTAAATAAAACTTTCACATATAAAATAATGCCTAATTTAATTACGGTTTTAAGATTATAATTAGAAAAAATTACAATTAAATTTTGTTGAGATACGCACGTGCAAGAAAATATTTTGATGAGTTTATGACTGGTTCAGGTGTTAATATAACCGGGATTTCCATCGTAATAAATTTTAATTTACCGTATCATAAAGCAAGGGCAGTACATTTACAGGTTACTTCTTAGTTATCTTTTAGAGCTTCGATGTCTTCAGGTGCACGCCGTTCGAAGATGGCAACAACAGCATTAGTCATGCATTTTCGAGCGCAGGTATAATTTGAAACGATTGTTTCGCGCATACACCTATACTATATGTGTATGGGTTTCAAGACGTTAAAGAAGGGTACGAGTAACAGTGTAGGTTCAAGGCCAAAACTGAAGGAGCGCGCCAACCATGCATACCGAGGGCCGAGGAGGCACCAAGCCAATGCGCCGTTTTGCCAACGTATTGGCAAAAAACAGCATTCCGGGCATCAAATGCATCCAAGCGCATATTGACGCAACGTGGCATCAGTAAGAATCCCAATTAGGAATGCGTGCAAATGTCCTAAAGCAGCTATAGGTGCAAACGAAATTAATTGAATCCAAACGCATCAACGGTATTTAATTCAGATGGCATTTTATTTCATTTCACCGCATCGACAATAGTGATATCAATGACTTACCTGCTTATAAATAGACAAAACTTGTTTCTCCCTCCTGACTTACCTGTGCCGGCTTGCGGTCTTTCGCCGTGCGCAGCCGACTAAGATGCCACCTGAGGTTCAGTTTTGACTCGCCGTACTGGAAGAACCGACCGGCGCAGAGCTGACTTAGCGCTTGGTGACTTAAACGCGCGTTTCGGTGAGTGTCGGCCGCGTCTTGCGATAAACAGTATTGTTTTGTACACACCGTTTGTTTACTGGTGGATTACAATAACATCTATAGTGTGTGCCTGCACCCGATGTATTTCTTCTGAGACAGGACTTTTGCATCAAGGTAAGTTTCATTAACTTTTAATTAATATCTTACGCTGCCTACCCGTGTGTAGGTTAAGTACAACTTAAATGCGACGGGAGAGTTCGAAGCGTGAGGAAAAAACCTACATGCTGATTAACCTTTCAAAATTCTGTTTGTTTGTGATAAATTACAAGCGTTGTACGAGAATACCTGCAACAAGAGTAGAATTCATCTTTTATACTTATTAATTACAATATGGAATTTCATCTCGTGGTATAAGAAATTGAATGTGAAAAATGCGAAATTAATTGTTTACCAACCATTCACGCAAGACTCGAGCAATACGTTAAACGCATGAACATTCCTTCTAATAAGTTGTGATTGCATAACGCTTCAAAGATGAAATAATAAAATGTGCACCGCGTTTCTCTCATGGATACTTATTTAAGCACGAATGTGTGAGCACGTTTCGAGTTTCTCTCATACGATAAATTTTCCTCTCAAGCACACGTTATTTTATAAATTCATTCAATTATGCTTATTTGTGTGCTCCGGTTTATTCCCATACCAGTTATGACTTCATATAGAGTTGAACTTCCGCAATAGCTCTCGATGATAGCATAACTTTTGTAATTTCTTTGAATTTTTTATATAATTTCGGATTATGACCAAAATTTGATGCAGACTAATTCGATCGGTGTCGCCCGAGTCCTTTCAAATTCCATGGACAATGGCATTAGTGCCGGACTGAAAGTTTTGGTGTTCTGCTTGACTACTTACTGTCACATAGAGTTACAATTCTTGTATTGGTCCATTAGTTCTTTGCTAAGACCGCTGGGAAGGTTTTCAAGAAGGAATCTTGAAAGGTATTTGTAATCTACAAAAAGGACTAAGTTCCGGGACATAAACATTGTGCTTCTACCTGATTCACAACTTGTAAAATATAGAAACTCAAATTTTTGAGATGAGAAACATCCAGATTGAGATTATGACTAAATTCCTCTGCGTATTTATTTATGAGAACAGGTTGATAGATATTATCAAACGCTCCAATGACTCAAATCTGACTTTCTTAGAGTCGTATAGAAATAATCGTTATCATGAGTCACCTTAAGAAATAGCAAGTCGGATCTCTTGTGATAAATTTAATACGATTGCATTACAAACCAGAATCACATTGAAATTTAATATTTAAGTAAATGGAGCGTGTGCACATTTCATACTCGTACACTTAGCAGATTGCGTTAGATTAAGTCACCTGGCTTGCTTTCTGCTTGCGCATCGATTAATGTTAAATCTCATCAATGGGAATCATTGCCCATGGCGTTTCAAGAACGGTAAACTCAAGCATGCAATATATTCAAGATCTATGTTACTTATTTTCTCTTTTGAATAACGACAGTTGTAAGTTGTAGATTTTTTCAAATTTATAACTAATAAATTGCTTGATTTATAATCGCGTCAGTTGTTTTGATAGTTTTAATGACTCGGCTATTTTCATGGTAGTTTATTGTCTTTGCGGCATTTGGGCATATCTATGACCATCGCATGCGGTTCTCAGCGAACGACCGGTAGATACATGACTATGAGACTTCAGCAAGACACAATCTCAACAGTCACCAAGCAACTCTCTACTGCCGGTTGGTTCTTCGACTTCTATGAGTACTCTCGCCGCACAGCATCAGCATCAGCATCATGATATGCGCGATGTGGTTATTTCTTGGGTGCGTCTTGAGGTCATTGCATAATTTTCTATACATTCTGAATATATTATTGCATTATACATGCCATGCAAGTCTCTCTTTGGAGCAAGTCTCTGGAAACGTATTTACGAGCAACTGTGGATGGAAATTACACGCGGGCAGCGGGCAAACGCGTGAAAAACCACTGCCTGCGTTGCGCGCTCATTCAGAATGCGAGCCTGCGAGGTGCATTTTTAAACGGCGCGCGCGCCATCGAAGTGGGTCATTGATTGTGCAACCTGCAAGCGGGCCCGATCGGAGAGTGATCATTGCCTTCTTCTTCAAGCGATCGCAAGCGGCCCCGCTACGTGGCCATTGCTTACCCAGCATAGCGCATACCACATTTTCTTAATTAAAAACTAATATGCGGCAATTAGCTTGCATGCACCATTCAGATTGCACATTCTTTGATCTAATCAGAATGTTTCAAACCGTTCATCCATCATAAAACGTGGAATCGCTGGAAAACAAATCAAACCAAAAGAAAACGGAATTGCAGCCAATAGTGGTTTGTGATACACATTTCTCTTTAGTTGTTTTGCTTGTTTTGCGTTTACAAAAATGGAAAAAGTTTTCGAAAACCGGTAACAGAAGAAACGATCGACGTTGGCATTTACGTGCTGGTACAAAGCGGGTTTACATAATTCCGTAAAAATTTCTAATGCAATTTATTTATCTCTTACTATACCTAAGTTTCAATATATCCAGAACATCCTGTAGAGCATGTTCATCTTTGGAATTGCGTTTTCTATTTGCACTTAAACAGAGTCTACGCTCCCGCATGTCATAAATGCAAACGCAAATGTTTGAAATGTTTCCAACTTTAAAATCAAGCAGGCTGTCAATGTACACACGATAGAAAATGAAACACAAACATTGCTTACGGTTCGTAATTAGTTTTTGTCTTTTCAGCTGGCAGTTAGTTAATGTTATTGTTCGCATTTGAATACACGTGTAAATTAATCGTCCGACTCGTTACATAAATTCCGATAATTTTGGCCGCGGTGCGATTAAAATTAGAGTTCAAGTTTAAACCAGCTTACCAGTTTTACTGCCGTACGTCTATAAGAAATAAGTGTGTAATAATTATAACTTTTCATAACCACCGGCGCGAGCAATTAAAAATTATTTTGCCAACTTTATTCCTCAATCCATAATTCGAGTTAGGAGGAGGATTGCTTCTTTTTCACGGTCAATGACTTGCTTACTCCATAGTTCTAAATCATATTTACAATCACACAACAAACGGTAACTCATTAAATTTATTTGCGTTATTCATTTTATCCATTTTAATACACTGCCAAGTTTGGCATACACATTTTTGGCTTTGTGTTTGATTTTATTGTTTGACACTTGGCTTGGTTCGCTTAACATTCCAAGAAAATTGGTGTAAAATTATCTTTACTATTGTTATTTAATACAGACATAACAATTTGAAGGTTAGGCATATGTTTTTTGAGGTTACGATTTACCTTATGTTAGGTTATGTTTGGAATTTAATCCTGTTATGGCTACAAATGCACTCGTCAAAACTTTCTACTATTGACACTTGTTCAAACGAAAACTGCATCGCATTTTAACTGTAAACACGCCGCTTAACAACGACTAAGTGGTGCTCAGTGCGAAATGATGCCCGCGTTAAACGCAAATTCGTGTTCCGTCTTGTAGGACAAGCAACGGTAATTCAGTCACGCTGTAAGTCTTCATTACAGGCGAGCCGAATAATAAGTAATTACAACGTATCATCCGCATGCGTGTATCGTACGCGTCGTGCATTCCTTGGCGTCTTCGACGTTTGTAAAACACATTGCGGTGACGCACCGACCAAAAACCAACCAAATCAAAACTCTGCAATACACGCATTCGTTATTAATGATCAATTGAATTGAATTATCCGTTTGTAGCTTTCTTTCAAAGCGGACGTATTTTTATTTCGGTTTGGCTAGAAAACGCAAAACGGTGAAAGAGGACGTGTTTGCCAATTGGCAAACTTCCTGCGGATTAATAATTAATAAGCTGGACGGCGTGCGCATTTCCGGCGAAGGAAATGTAATATGCTTGAATTGTGGCAGCGCAGGCACATCCACCACATGTTCCTGCATTTTAATATCAGTCTTGTGACTGTAATCAATCCATTCTTTATTTTATGCGTGCACAAAACCAATTCCTACTTTCAACTTCAAGCTGTATGTAAGTTAGACGTTGATTTCAGCCTCCTCTCGTGCTTATTTGGTTTTAGTGTTATAAAGAGAAAACAGGTTGATACGCTTCGCCTTGATGCGATTATTCCCCAGGTACAAGTCGCTCCGGTGCGCAGGTACGACTTGGTTTTCGGGGTGTGGCCGAAAGCATTCCAGTCTTCGGCCGCGGCTAGTAAAAAAGTCACAAACACGCAGAGCATATGAAAGCACATGAAAGCGGCGCAGCGTGGCGTATGAAGTACGACGTCTTAGTCGAGATAAACTCTCTGCATCTTTTTGCCATTTACACACACCGTAAACGTGAGCAATAGGGTGGCCATTTTCGAGGAAAAACCGGCGTTGCATCACGTCTACTACAATTACTTATATATAATATTATGGCTACATAGTTATTGCCACACCGTATCAGTTTAGTTTATTATTTCCTTCTTTTTTAAACCTGTCGCTCGAAATAGAATAATAGCCTTTCCAACTATGAGGAATGAAATTATCTACCCACGTACAAGATTGCTGAAGTATTTCTACAAATAAAAATCGCGTGTATGCAGGTCAAACATTAACAGACTCACAATTTATAGCAGCGGCTGATATTGAGTTAAAGTTTGCAATAAAATCAGTGGTCAGACAGATATTTTCTTCAAAAATGAAGCAAGAGTAGCAAAGTTTTATATCATAGAGATGCAGTTATTAACACTTTTATTACTTTTGCAATAGGCAATGCCAATATTAGCTATAACTATATATATTTTGCTATATAAACATTTATAATATGTTATGCAAACTGTTTGCATCATCTCTCACATCTATTTGTAAACAACTATTTGTGTAGTTTTCCAGCAAAGTTCTATTAAATTAGATAAAAAATTCTCATCAATAATGATGTTTAGCCTGGTGACTTCATACGCACAATAATTAAATAAGCTTGATAGTTTCCGCATTCCCTGATGTCGTAACGTGAAGAATTTCTGTGACTAACGTTTTGATTCACTAAATTACCAAATAACTTTTACAGTTTCTTTACTTGTGCTATTTAACTGTATTGTCGTAACAACTTGCATTATAATAGATTGATTTTGGTGGGCAAATAAACCGTTTGGTAAATTACGATAATTATGTTATTGTTTGACTTAAAAATAAATACACATTGATCATTTCTTTCTTAATTTTTGATTGTAAAGCGTTAAATAATTATGATTCGAGTTAGTGGTGGAGGCGCACTTCAGCTGAATCTAATTTAAGACAGTTTAGTTGGTAATTTTCTCACGTTATGTGCCCCAGAATAATGAATCATTGTCTCGATCATAATTGCAGATTTCTCAAGATGTGACCAAGTCGCTGGGTGCTCGCGCGCGCGCTTACATAACTTATCTTAGAGCTGTGATCGTGTCTCTGTTCTTATGCTCGTGCATTTTATTCTATTCTTGCTTATATGCTCGAATCGTTGAGCTATATTCGTTTACGTAATAGCATGAATTCACCATTGTTTTAATTGCGTAGGATTTAATTCGTTCATATGTGTGCTCGCGGGAGAAATAAAATGGAATAAAAACGAGAGCAGTGTAAGAAAAAAAGTGACGTCCCTAAAGTAGTCTTCTTCATAACGTCTTCCTCTGCGTAATTTACAAGAAAGGTTAGCTAATTTATAAGAGAATTTGTTTAGACTTTATTTTAGGTTATTTGAATCTTGTTTAAAACATTGTAGGCAAATATATAGAAAAGTTTATAGGAGTCGCACACCGACCGGCAATGAACTTTATTTTTATTACGCGGTATGCCTTGTCCATCTTTCATGCAGCTTGAGCACGAAAGCACCTTACCGGTAGCTGACTTGAATATTACAATCTACTGCTTGATTTTTTTTTAAATAAAAACAAGTAGCGCTATTATATGTTTAGCGAGCACTGAACTGGCTTTTCACAAATCTTCAGTTTCAATTTGTTGTTTTGCCTAAATAAATTATAGATTTTTTAATAATTGATGTGATTTTCTCGTAAACTAAAAGCGATAGAGAGGAATGGGTCGTAGATTCTTAATCTACAGGAAATTCTCTATAAAAATAAATATAAATTTATAAATAAATAAATTTATAATAAATTCAAAAAAATATCTGCAAAGTGTCAAAATCTTCAGATTATCGAGGGATGTAGGGACGCCACACTATACATTAATTAATACTAAATTAACACACTAAAATAGTAAAAAAACTGTGCAACAAATTGTCGTGGGTGTTAAATCTTTGTTTCGCCACTATGTAATGCGCTTTGCAGCCAATTAAATTCTAATTAGAAGATGGCGGATGGCATTGAACCCACGACTACCAGGTTGGCGCAAGTAAGTCGCCGCTTAATGGACTCCTAAACTTGTTTGGCCGTTTCAAATTAATGCAGAATTAAACGCGAGACAACAAACGCCAGGTGACAGTTGTGCTTTCTTCGCGCGGAGGCTAAAGCGTGGTCTGAGCGTGAAGAAATGCAATTACGCAATGTAAATAACAACAGTTCTTGCAAATGTACTAATAATTTCAAATCAAAGTACATATTAGCCATGGTGCTTACCATGGTGATGGAAAATTGCAAACTTTAATAAACATTACTGACATTTTCTGCACAAAACACAAACGGAAGTTGAAAGGAAATCAAACGAGCATATCATTTGTAATATCACGCTGATACCTTGCAGTCATTTTCCGGTGCAACGACCAACAGTCAATAAATGTTATATTTTGTAACTATTGGTGTTGCATATATTATCGCCGCATGGTTGCATAACGTTCGGCATGTTAAACGTGCATATTAACAAACTGGTTTTCTGTTTCAGTGGAATGCTTATACGACTGCAGACGGCCCTCGCGGTCGTCATCCTGATCTGTTGCAGGATATCAGCACAACAGGTAATTACTTCGTTACATATAACTACTTACAACTATTTTCCATTTAGATAGCATTTTTTTATTAGATACAACATAGAAATTTTTATTTTCTAATCATTAGTAATTTCCCATTTGAATTAATTTTACTGCAATTTGTTCTGACCTATAAATATTACCGCGATCGGTTGCAATTAATGCAACGCCGAATCAATTACTCGCATTCGAACAATTTTAATTGACTCTCGTTATATTGTTGCAGGAAACAACCAACTTGTTCACGTGTCCGAATGGTGAGTGCTTCAACAATTCTTCAATTTTATTCTCATTCACGTTTCAATCGTTGCTCGTTCTTTTGCAACATTTTCCTTCTTGTATATCAAGGTTCTTTTACAAATACCAAGGATATGAGCGTCGCCCGTCTGTTGCGCCACTATTATGCTTCTCTTTGGCATCGCCTTGTTTCGCAAAGTGTAACAAAAAGCGCATTAATAATAAAGTTCGGTTAATTGTGCCGCAATATAACTGCAGTTCGTGAATTTGCTTTTAATCACAACAGATGCATATTGCAAGCAATTACACTCAGCGAACTGCTTGACTCGCTTATAAACCGACTGTTGCAAGTTGGCGAGGCGAGCTAAATCATAACGGTATCTGCAAATCAGATCAGCTCTCGTATGCGCGCGCGTGATTTATTCGGTCATCGCTGCGGATAATTGCATTAGGAACACTCCGAGAGGCTCACAATTATAAACAATTGCATGCACAAGTAGAATAAAACGAGCCATCATCTTTCACCGCACACTTAGTGCACTATGGATTGCATCCAGAGTCAACGAGACGCGAAGTTGTAACGATATTAGGCTTATTTTTAAAATTATGCAATTAAACGTCACACCAGTAACGAGTAGTAACCTATTAAGTACATTACGGTCTGTTGCATTGCTCGATCAAAAACTAAAAAATGTTTAGTGAAGAAGCAGAGTCGTGATGAATTTATACCTGTGTGTCGTCAGATGAATGGCAAACGCCAACGTCAAATTACACCTATCACATGTGGAGGTAAACACGCAAAACGGAGATCTCTCCGGGTTTGGTGTTACCGTAATAAGTGTGTCACAAATAACTGAGTATACACGCACGCATACACACCACACACATGACTCGGAAGAGATGCCGACGCTGAAATGCAAATTATGTAAATTTACAGTAAGGTATTTAGGAGTGTCCTGCGCCGCAATGAGTCAACTGCCTAGTTGGGTTGCAATTGCGCGCAAATGAGTGGATCGAATTTAATAGCAACCATCGGAGTGTAAAATAAGGAATGATGACATTATTTTTATCATATTCTAAATATTTTTGACTTATATTCAGTCATTGAAACAATTTTTAACAAACTAGGTTACTTTTCTTAGTATATTACTCATTGATAACAGTTAAAAAATTAGGTTAAACATGCTTAATCTTAACATGCATTGCGATAATTTTATCCTTGTGCTTTTAAGATGTCTAGCGCTATAGATGTCTGAAAAAACTATAATGCACTTCTTGTATCAACAAAGTAAAAAACGAATGGTCAAAGTTTACAACTTGCATGTTGTGTTGGATGTGTGTTTTTGTGTTAGTCTAGAGTTGCATTCCTAGACTCTTGTTCATTAACTTCTTGTATTCGTTCGCGTTTATAGCGCATGTTAAATATTTAACTTACAAGGCCAAAATCGACTTGCGTGGACAACTTTTACAATCACTATCGATACAAATACCTCAACAAAGAATTCTGCTATACCACTGGATATATATTTCTACTTCTTATAGAACCCAATCACAACGAATGCATTGTTGTGGGTATTTTGAGGTTTAAGTTTGACCAATGGCCAATAAATGAGTAACCGTGTTTTGTCGATTTGAATGTCACACATTTTTAGAACGGTGGTAAAATTTTGTATGCACGAATCGAGGACGTGTGTTCAATATTTTTTTCACTTAAAATGTAATTTAGATTATGGTGTATAAAGTAAGGTTTATGCTTTTTGTATTTTCTGGCGGATTGCTTTCTTCGTCGATTGAAAAAGCTTTGGTAAATTGAGCACGTAGTAAAAAAGAAAATCGCAAATCAACACAACGTCACACATATTTGCTCACATCACACAACACCTGAATGAAATATACTAATTGTTGTGGTTGTGGTAGTAATCATATCTCGTTTGTTGCACATTTGTTGCTGCTATTAAAAGCTACACGCACTAATGCAGGAAGTAAACAGCATTCATCAATAAAAGAAATTTCTCTTTAAATTCGTATTTGATGATTCACTGTTTCTGAGTACTTTTTCTGCAATAGCGATGATAAATTCTGAATGTCTCCTATATTACTCAGAAACATAATCGTTAATTGTATTCGTCTTCACGTTGCGCACCATTGAGTTGTTTTTAGAAATTTATTCACCGCTGTAAAAAGATATGACCCGACTTAAGAAGTATGTTATAAAATCTGCATAATATAGTCTTTGAGTTGATGTCGGTTTGAGAAAAATGTCACGGTCAAAACCCAGGTCGAAGGTTACGCGCAAGATCCGAAGTTAAATTTATGTGTGAAGCAACATATTAATGAGAAGAGACGAGGATGAAAATGTGAGAGACCAATAGTTTGTTGTTAATGAATGCACACCACGTCGACTGACCGGGCCGCACTTTTTTGGGAAGCGTGTTCATCGATCGGTGACGAGTAATAATAACAATAATAGCGGTTTCTTCGAGTCGAAGCAGGTTTTAGCGGCGTGTCTCAAACAAAATCAAGCACCTGAACAACTCGGAAGAATTGCCTGATAGATGAGGATAACCGATCGATACAATTAATATTTAACGATGGACAAAAAATGACATATATTCGGATTAAAGTTCAACCTACAAACAAACTCAATTTGGTATTAGCTGGGAAGCTGTTAGGACCTGTTAGGAAATTAGCTGTGAATTGGCGAACATTGTGAGGAGTAAAATACAATTGCCACACGCATAATCATCAATTAGCAAGCTCCGTTGTAATTTTTGCTCATTTTCGCGCCGAGCTAAACCGGGACAATTTGTAATCGGTTTGCAATCTGAGGTAGGTATATCTTGCAATTTAATGCAAGAGAGCTTGAAGTATAAACTATCATTAAACGCGTACGTGTGGTCAGCAAATCACCAACATGACTACAGTTTAAACCAGTATTTTTTTTCAGGCTGACTTGTTTCTCGGCCGATTGCATTCTGATCACACATTTCATGCAAATATGTTTAAATTCCTGTGTTGCGTTAAGCTGTAACCACAGAATGATGGCGACATAGGCAACAGAAATTTCTTTCAAGGATAACTTATCATTGCGCCAATAGATTACATGAGAAGAGATTTTATTTTATTTATTTGAGTTTGTAACGACAGTATAACGCGTGTACATGTTCGAAGTCTTGGATCGGAATTCGTAGTGAAAGTCGCGAGCTTGCATCGCGCATCAAAACGGCCGTCCGTGCATATTTGACCTTTTCTATAATACAACAACATTGAGGACTGCGAGTACACAACACCAAACAAAATTTTGGCTATGAAAAATAGTTAGTACCTATTGATTTTGCTGCCTGGTAAATAAAAACTATGTGACCTTTGTAGTAATACGAGAATGGCAGCATCATGATCACGAACAGGCAACAGGAACCTGAGGAATTGCGAATATGACTCATACTAAGTGCAAACTGCGAGAACATGACAGCGCATGAGTGTAACATAATATCCCCGTTAGCTGAATGTTTGAATACTACAAGGAATTGCGTTTAAAGTTTAAACTATGCGATCAGAACATGCAAGACGTAACGATTTTACTCTGTACACCATTACAAACTTGCAAGTCGTGCAACCTACTCTACTTTACGAGACTATTCGAAGTGGTTCACTGCCAAAAAAGCATACAGTAAATCATAACCATAGAAAAAACGTAGTGGTTTATAAATATTTCAATGCCAATACGCAGAAAATCTAATTCGAGCATAATTATTAACAATTTTCACTTGATGGTCGTCCCAATCATATAATTTTTACACATTTTGCTGATTGGAAGTTTCACTTTATTACTCTATCACTCCTGGCGTTCACATAAAAAAATCGCATTAAAAGACGTGATTATTACTAAATTTCTCGAGCATAAATCAGATCAGAACATGGCCACAACACAGCAAAAAACATCATTATCTGCCCATCGTCGATACTTAACAGCTAAACAATACGTTTGCAAGTTCCACTTTCACCTTATAAAGTCCAATGTAACAAAAAAGCGTTTAACCAGTATTTGGCAAACCGTAATATTACGTGTTATTGTATGTACCGCAACTACAATCCAACAATTCAATTGTTGATTGAACATTCAACACCAAAAAATAAGAACCTAGTTCGTATTTGGCTTTCACACTTCTTAAACTGGTACTCTTTTTATTTCTTCACATTTCAATGAAGATTTGAAGTGGTTGATCACTGAAAACTTTTGTTAAAAATTATTCAATGCTATTACATGTTTCAACATTAGTTGGATGGAAAACAATGAACCCCTAATTTGATTAATTATATGCAGGTATTGCTTTGTAACTGTGAAGACTCATTTTTTGTATTTTGTATTCAAAATGTTGTGATACTGCATCTGGCTCAAGTATAAAGCAATTTATGTACCTTGAAACATGAGAATTTACGTAATGCGTGATCTTCGGGCAGGAAACATTCGCATATCCGCCTGTTTTTGTTTTATAACAGTGTCTTTAATCACATACGTCCACGTGAGTTGAATGCAACTAACGTATACACGACTGTTAATCTGTAAATGGTAATATTTTCGTTATTTTTTGCGCCATAACACAAAAAACAATATAAAAATAAAAATATGTAATATAAAAACGTTTAATAGAAACAATAACATTTTGCAACATTATTAAAACGGCTTATTATTGCGTTAAACAGCCATTATTGCATCAGTAAACCACCGACATTGATGTTGGAATGCTCAAAGGTTGGCTATGAATGAAATTGTTATTTTTAACACAAATGATCATTTATCACGTTTTTACCTCGTTTGCTGCCACTGGGAATTCATAATTGTTAATTAATTACAAATTTACATTAAATGTCACTTTAAAAATAGAAATTCAGATGCAAACGAAAGAGAAATCTCCTCACTCAGATTATGATTATGAAAATCACTCGGTGGACTTTTCATATCGAGTGTATTTGTCCACACATGTTGAACGCTTTCAATTAAAGGAGCATTTAATATGTAGTAATCTGCTTTTATTTGCCGTGTGAAGCGATGCGAGCATAATAATTGTTAATTTCGAATGTCATTTGAACGTTTAACATGTGCTGAACTAATGAAGTCTAATAGATTCGATGCACGAAAGTAGAAACCGTGACTGGATGTGGAGAGAAAATAAAGAATAAGAAGCTGTAACCAACGCACAATGTTTATTTTTTAATGCAAATGTGTCAATAAGTAATTATACTAAACACATATGTGAGTACTTGCTAAACGGTTAAGGTGTAATTTACAATTTCTAAATGTATCTCATTAGAAATAATTAAAAATTAAATACTTACATATCTATTTGAAGCGTGAGACATGCTGCTTGTATATTTAATGATAATCTGTAAAGTATTAATTGGGTTTGATCAAAAATCAACTAACGTGTTTAAATATCGCCGTATAATGATTTTTATAAAGAAACAATAGTGAAATCTATAGATCTCGAGGCACAAGATAATTAATCATAAATTATCGATTGTGGATATTATTGACTTTCGTTTTGACATGAACAAGACATGTAAAACGCTTGTTTATGATTTTATTTCTTAAGTGGAAAGCTCTTAGAATCAGGTGGTCATTGCGGAACGTGAATAACTTAAATACACATTGTGCAATTATTATGCACCAATTACCTACATAAATACATAAAAGCATAAATATAAAGACAATTTATGCGATCAATGCATGAAGTGATATGAAATTTATGGCACTTTTAGCAAATTAAGTAAATAACTATTATTTGCTTATTATATTCATTATACAGTAACATAAGTTGTCTTGACATGTCACCAAGAGTTGCATGCATAACAGCGATAGTTATCTCGCATCAAGGACACTTTTTAATTGATTGCAACAAGTGTTATGAACTATGAGTAATGAGACAACTATAAATGCTAAATGAATATGATAATTATCTCTGCAATAATAAGGAAGTGATTGGCAATAAAAATTTAACTTGTTTTGTCTTCAGGAATACGACATAAATAATTATAAGAAATATGTTTGGAATGTCTGTATTCAAAGAAAGAAAAATATCAAGCGCTATAAATTCTTTGTCATTCAAATTTGAATTTGAATTAATTTCCATTTTTGTTTCAGGTTGGGACCTACGAGGACTGCACTGTTATAAGTTCTTCAACATTAGACATTCCTGGGAAAAAGCGGCAGAATTATGTAGAAGGTCAGTGTCTTTCGTTTCGGCTTTGGCAAACATTGTATCACGCACCACGCTTCTTCGTGTATAAAATGTGCGATGTGCGAATACGCAATACCCGTTGAATATTTGCATTTGTTCTTCGCCAAGTTTATTGTATGCTTATTCACTTCATAGGTTCCTAGGTTTATACACAACGTTCAAGAATACAATAAAAAAACGTAAAGATAAACTAAATTTGGCACGTTCAATGCACGAAGAAGAAATTAATGTTTGACTGGCTATAAAAGTGAATATTTTTTGCTGAAATTAATTTTGTGAGGTAAACCAAGCGTGTTTAACTCACGTATATTAATTAATATCTTACGCACTTTGTATATCTGCTGTTTTACGTTTGTATGCGATGTCTATGCATAACTGTATAAGATGTGTGGTCAGATTACATTAGCGCCTGAGCAAACGATCAGCAAAGGTTCGACGAACCTATAGATCATCACTGGCGTGCATATTAACGATGTATAATTATCATTTAATTTAATGTCCAACGAGAGACTATATCGAAGAGATTCGCTTCGATTTTAGACAAATTTCAAATGGTTACCGAACGATTTCGACCGAATTATATTTTTATTAATCGCCTCGGTGTGCGTCGCTAATTTATGCATTAATTAACCCGTGGAATTTGGTATTAACGCATCGCCTTGAGTTGTTTAATTTGTTTAGGGAATCACACTTGACCGAATTGACTTCTCACATTAATCGTTAACTTCTGCCACGCCATTAAATTCTTCTCCGCGAAGCCATTAAATTCACCGATGAAAACCGTAAACAAAGTTCGACACGATGTCTTCCACTGTGGGTAGGGTCATGTGACACAATGAACTCCTCGGTAAATAGGAATTTATGTCAAAAGAACTACAAAACCATTTTTGTTTACTGTTCGGAGAGGACGTAACACTTAAAATTTTACACTTTTCCGTGTTTTTACCATTAGTGTCGCTCTTGTTTCGGATCACTTACAGACATTGTTTTAAATTAAACTCGATGACGTTGTCAATTACCGCCGTGTTTTGTGCGTATTTTGGCTTAATGGAGTGCAAATCTAGGGCGCGTTCGATATCCGAAAACTATACAGACATAAATATGAATATGGAAAGTTAGAGCACAAACTAATTACTTATTATTTGCTTCTATTATTCGTTTCCAAGCGTGTTCTTATTGGTTTTGTTCGCGTTTATATTTATGTTTGAAGGAATTAGAAAGGTATAACGCGCCTAGATTTGCTTGACAATAACCGTTTTCAATACATTGGGTCACGAGGTAAATTATTTAATTTACGTCAGTGTTGAAATTAATAAGTGATTATTAGAAAACAAACAATAAATTTCGATTCTTTGTATTCTTTCGGCAAAATTCAGTATTAAAATTAAATTAAATTTTTCGACAAGTCTATTATTTTCTCCTTTCTGAAGAAACCATTGTCCGGCACGTGCTCATCAAAAGCATATTATACACTTGAGTTTACTTTGTTTCGCAACTTTTTTGCCTTGGAGATGAACGTGCACGTCAGTTTTTTACTCAACACATTACGCGATAAATTTGCCCCCTTCAACATTTAAATTAGACGCAAAAAGAAAGTAGAAGATGATTACCCTGATAGAAACATAGTTTGTTTCTTGCATCGATGATGTCTTGGTATTTTTTCGTAATAAAATTCGATTGTAGGCATATTGTATTTTAATACGTATCCCGTTATAGACTTTTCGCTTACAGCCATCACAAAGCCATGTTCGCGGCTCGCAAGAAAGTCGCCGCAACTCTCATTGTGTGTGGTTGTAAGACACAGGTCGAGAAGAAACTTTCAAATTAACACGACTGCCCTAGGGTCAGTTACACCTGTCTGGTCGAGCGTCGCGTGTGTGCGAGCGTACTACTTTTCGAAGCTCGCAGACGCAGCAAAATCAAAGAAACGACGAGATTAGTTCCGTACTCGTCGCATTGGGCGCGTTTGATTTGATTCGTGTTTCATCACACTATTAGAAATTGTTATGCAAATATTTTCTGTAGGTACACGATGAGATTTCATTGATATCGATCGACAGCGAAAGTGAAATGTGTCGAAATTTTGGAAATCTGTGTAAATAATGCGGTTTTTCATGTTTTACGATTGTGTAATAAAAACACGATTAAAGTCAACCGTAAAAAAATGACCGTGTTCTTGAATGTTTATGTTTTTTTCAGTTCTTGTTTGGAGATTTTCAGTAAAAATTAATTAAAAGTGAATTTAACTCTTGATTAATGCTTCGTATTGAATGAATGGTGTTTTCCTTTGTGTAGGTATGGCAGCGATTTGATGTCAGTGGAGTCATACGGTGAAAATAATTTAACGGCATCGATTGCTGCGTCCACCGTAGCCGGCGACCGCCGCGGAACGAACCATTACTGGTTGGGTTTAGCTTCGTTGGATGACCTCAAAACCAACACCTTAGAGTCCGCATCGGGAACACTAGCGTCTCAATACTCAGGTATGTGGGCGCCTCTCGCACTTGCGCTGATAGGAAGCGCAACCCATTATGACACCACAATTCAATTAGACCTATTATCGCCGGTTGCTTTGATGAGGCTCTTTGGTGAACTTCTCGTCTGATTCATACCGCCATTCAAGCGCGCGCGCGGTACACTTATTTCATTTACTCGATTTCACCGACCTGTATTACATAAATTGCGTTGTGTTGTTACGGATCTTCATCATCATCACACTACTGCAGCACTCATGTATTCTCGCAGGTTTCTGGTCACTGCAACAGCCCGATCCGAAAGCCGGCGAATGTGTTGACGTCACATTGACCGAGGAGAAACAATCTTGGGAGCTGACAACATGCGAGAGTCTGCTGCCATTCATGTGCAGAGCTCGCGCTTGTCCCTCCGGCTCCTTCCACTGTTCCAATGGCAACTGCATCAACGATGCATTCCGTTGCGATAAACAGGATGATTGCGGCGACTCGTCCGACGAAATAGACTGTCCATCTAATTGCAACTATTATTTAGCTAGTAGTGGTGATGTGGTTGAAAGTCCTTACTACCCACAGAAATATGCGCCGCTCACGAATTGCAAGTGGACGTTGGAGGGCCCGCAAGGACATAATATTCTTCTACAGGTAAATTATGCAAATAACACAAATTGATTCCACAACAGCTAATTTTTGCCCACGTGTCTAGTTTCAAGAATTCGAGACGGAAAAGTCCTTCGACACCGTGCAAATTCTAGCAGGCGGTCGTTCCGAGGAGACGTCCATAAACTTGGCCACTTTATCCGGCAAGCAAGATCTTACCAATCGTTCGTTTGTGTCGGCGAGCAACTTTATGATAATCAAATTCAGCACTGACGCCTCGGTTGAAAGAAAGGGTTTCCGGTACGTTCAAGACAAATTTGAATGGACGTCTTTGTCTACTTTTATTGTCTGCTTATTTTTATTTGGAATAATAATGAACCGCTTCATCGTTTTCTCTTCTTGTTTTTGTTAGCGCTTCTTGGAAGACCGAGCCTCAGACATGTGGTGGTATGCTACGCGCCACTCCGCAGGGACAGGTTTTAACCTCGCCTGGCTATCCTGAACAATACCCGGGTGGCTTGGAGTGCCTTTATGTAATTTCGGCACAGGCTGGAAGAATAATTACTCTCGAAATCGATGACCTCGATTTGGACGATATGCGTGACTACATTCTGGTGCGAGACGGCGACTCGCCCATGAGTCAACCAATCGCGCGGCTCACTGGTGACTTGGAGAAAAATCAACGTATCATCATGTCCACTGGCAATCAGCTGTATTTGTATTTCAAAACTAGCCTGGGTGACTCAAAGCGTGGATTTAGAATTCGCTATGCGCAAGGATGTCGTGCAACCATAGTTGCGCGAAATGGTTCTTTGACCTCACCAGCATTTGGTCTCTCCAACTATCCTAGCAATCAAGAGTGCCTCTATAAAATTCGCAATCCCGGCGGTGGTCCACTATCTTTAAACTTTGATAGTTTTGATGTAGATAAGTCGGATGTTGTTCAAGTGTACGATGGACCAACCACAAGCGGCTTGCGGTTGCACAGTGGTAATGGTTTTACCCAGAACGCGGCTCCAAAAATCACATTAACTGCTTCTAGCGGCGAGATGTTGATTCGATTTGCTTCAGATGCGCTGCACAGCAACAAAGGTTGGAAGACTGTGTTTTCGGCTGATTGTCCATCTTTACAACCTGGCGTTGGCGCGTTAGCTTCCAGTCGTGACACGGCTTTTGGTACCATCATCACGTTCACTTGTCCTACAGGGCAAGAGTTTGCAACTGGACGCACGCGTATCACGACTCAATGCCAACATGGCGGCAATTGGTCAATCACATATATTCCTAAATGTCAAGAGGTTTACTGCGGACCTGTACCACAAATCGACAATGGTTTTTCCATTGGTTCAACCAACGTGACCTACCGTGGAGAGGCTATGTACCAATGTTATGCTGGATTTGCGTTTTCTACAGGACAACCAATTGAAAAAATCTCGTGCTTGGCTGATGGTCGTTGGGAGAAGAAACCGGCGTGTCTTGCATCCCAATGCGTTGCGTTACCGGAAGTCCCGCATGCAAATGTAACTAACTTGAACGGTTTGGGACGAAGTTACGGTACTATTGTACGTTATGAATGTGAGCCCGGTTATGTACGTTCTGGACATCCGGTAATTCTCTGTATGAGCAATGGCACGTGGTCTGGTGATGTTCCAACTTGTTCTCGCGCACGGTGTCCTGTTTTCCCCGAAATCAAAAACGGATATATTACCGACACATCTAGGACATATTTCTACAACGACGAAGCGCGTGTACAGTGTTATAAAGGCTACAAACTGATTGGCAATAGCGTGCTGAGGTGCGGCGAGCGTCAGGAATTCAACAACCCGCCTAAATGTGAAGACATTAACGAATGTATCAGCAGCCAATGCGACGTCGCGTCAACTGAATGCGTCAATGCGCCTGGATCTTTCTCATGTAAATGTCGCAAAGGTTTCACGCCTACGTTAGATTGCAGACCCGTAGGCGATTTAGGCTTGATCAATGGAGGTGTTGCCGATGATGCCATTACTGTATCCAGTACCGAGGAAGGCTATACAAAGGGGGTAAGACAATAGCGCCATTCTAACAATAGAATAAATTTATAATAAATGTCGCTTTATTTGTATTCAGATGCTTCGTTTGAGCAACGGACAAGGTTGGTGCGGAAACACTCTGGAACCCGGTTCCAACTATGTTACCATTGATTTGAAGGCGCCTACAATAATTCGTGGATTCCGTACTATGAGTGTCACCCGGCCGGATGGCAACTTGGCGTTTACATCAGCTGTTCGTATTCAATACACAGATGACCTCACGGACATTTACAAGGACTACAGAAATCCTGATGGTACTGCGGTTGAGTTCAGAATTTTGGAACCCACCTTATCCATTTTGAATCTTCCGGTTCCAATTGAGGCTCAGTATATTAAATTCAAAATCCAAGACTACGTTGGCGCTCCTTGCATGAAACTCGAGATAATGGGCTGCACACGTTTAGAATGCGCAGATGTTAATGAATGCAATACAAACAACGGTGGGTGCGACCAAAAATGCATCAACAATCCGGGCGATTACTCTTGCAGTTGTAATGTCGGTTTTGATCTGTACACGAAAAATGGCACCTCCGGTTACAATATTGAGCGCAGTGAAAACGGTCTTCGAGACGGTGATACTTATCAGGTGAATAAATCGTGCGTGCCAATTATGTGTCCGAATCTACAGGCACCGGACAACGCGGTCATTCTATCGACAAAAGAAAAATACCACTTTGGTGATTTAGTGCGCTTCCAATGCGATTTCGGCTATGTAATGACTGGGTCCTCGGCTTTATTGTGCACATCCACTGGAGCGTGGAATGGCACAATTCCCGAATGCAACTACGCGAAATGCGTGTCATTGCCTGATGACAAGAATGAAGGTCTGCGAGTTATTCGTCCGGATGAGACTAGCGTTCTAGTGCCTTTCAGAGAAAACGTGACGATGAATTGTGGAAACGTAGGCAGACAATTACGAAAAACTGCAACGTCAGGTTTTAGGCAGTGCGTATATAATCCGAAACAAGGTCTTCCGGACTATTGGCTTAGTGGAGCATTACCTTCATGTCCCAGGGCTGATTGTGGTACCCCACCACCAACACCTGGTGCCGAATATGGCAAATACTTGGATACCAAATACCAATCTTCCTTTTTCTTTGGTTGTCAGAATACATTTAAACTAGCAGGTCAAAGCAACAAACACGATAATGTGGTTAGATGTCAATCGAATGGTGTATGGGACTTTGGTGATCTTAGGTGTGAGGGCCCAGTGTGCGAAGATCCTGGTCGACCTAGTGATGGTTTCCAATTAGCTAGGAGCTACGAACAAAGTTCTGAAGTTACTTTTGGTTGCAACCGACCGGGTTACATACTTATTAACCCAAGACCAATTACTTGCGTACGTCAACCAGAGTGCAAAGTTGTAAGACCTTTAGGTCTTGCTTCCGGAAGGATACCAGATTCCGCCATCAACGCAACAAGCGAGAGACCTAACTATGAAGCAAAGAATGTTCGATTAAACTCGGTCACTGGTTGGTGCGGTAAACAAGAAGCATTCACCTATGTGAGTGTTGACCTGGGAAAAGTTTTCCGTGTGAAAGCTATTTTAGTAAAGGGAGTAGTTACAAATGACATTGTTGGACGCCCAACAGAAATTAGGTTCTTCTACAAACAAGCCGAGAATGAAAACTATGTTGTGTACTTCCCCAACTTCAATTTGACTATGAGAGATCCCGGAAACTACGGCGAATTGGCCATGATTTCTTTACCAAAATATGTGCAAGCGCGTTTTGTTATTCTAGGCATTGTAAGCTACATGGACAATGCTTGCTTGAAATTTGAACTCATGGGTTGTGATGAACCTAATGAAGATCCTCTTCTGGGTTATGACTATGGATACTCTCCGTGTGTTGATAATGAAACCCCAGTATTCCAAAATTGTCCACAACAACCAATCGTTGTGCAGAAAGATCAAAATGGTGGATTACTTGCCGTCAACTTTACGGAACCGACAGCTGTGGATAATTCCGGAAGTATTGCTCGCTTGGAAGTTAAGCCACAGAATTTCCGCACACCAATGTACGTGTTTGACGACACGGTCGTAAAATATGTCGCTTTCGATTACGACGGTAACGTAGCCATCTGTGAGATTAACATTACCGTGCCCGACAATACACCGCCTCAGCTAAGTTGTCCGCAGAGCTACGTGATTGAATTAGTGGACAAACAAGATAGCTACGCTGTAAACTTCAACGAAACGAGACGTCGACTCAACGCCACTGATGCATCTGGCGAGGTCCACATACAATTTATTCCCGACAAAGCGACAATCCCAATCGGCACGTTTGAGAACGTCACGGTTGTTGCGACGGACAAATATGGTAACAAAGCCACTTGTCACTTCCAAGTAAGTTAAGCATAGCTTTTCACTGCTCACCTCGTATTTTCAATGCTTTTCTTTCTTGTGTTAATATAGGTTTCAGTACAAGCCACACCATGCGTTGATTGGGAACTTAAATCACCTGCAAACGGAGTAATAACTTGTTTAGAAGGTGATCGAGGTTTACAGTGCATTGCTAAATGTAACGACGGTTACCGATTCACCGATGGCGAGCCAATCAAGACATTTGGCTGTGATTCCAAGACACCATGGAAGCCGACGTCGGTGGTACCCGATTGCGTTTCCGAGGATACACAACAAGCAGATTACCACGTAACTGGTTCAGTTCGTTATCGTGCCAACGGTGCTGTGGCACACGCATGTTTGAATCAGTACACGGACCTGTTGTCGCAGTACTATGAAACACTGAATCGTATGCTGTCACAACGCTGTTCTGCTGTTAACGTAAACATGAATGTCTCTTTCGTCAAAGCGACGCCGGTCTTAATTGAGGAAAATGTCGTTAAAATCGACTTTGTCCTCGATGTTATTCCTGTCATTAGACAACCGCAATTGTACAACTTATGTGGGTCTACTTTAACGCTTATCTTTGACCTGTCCGTACCGTATGCAAGTGCAGTTATTGAACCGTTGTTGAACGTTTCCGCAATTGGGAACCAATGTCCGCCATTACGCGCGCTTGCGTCTACTATCACCCGGGGATTCACTTGTAACATCGGTGAAGTTTTAAATATGGACGAAAATGATGTTCCACGTTGCTGTAAGTTTAGTATTTTTGTTTTACGTGGATTTATTTTAATTTAAATTTAATTTTTATAGTGCATTGTCCCGCTGGTACTTTTGCTGGTGAAAAACAAAAAGAATGTACGTATTGCCCGAAAGGATACTACCAAAACAGCGATCGTCAAGGTGCTTGCCTGCGCTGTCCTTTGGGAACTTATACTAAAGAGGAGGGTTCAAAGAGTATTCATGATTGCGTCCCTGTTTGTGGTTATGGTACCTATTCGCCTACTGGACTTGTACCTTGTCTTGAATGTCCTCGTAATAGCTACACTGGTGAACCACCAACTGGTGGCTTCAAGGATTGCCAGGCGTGTCCAGCAAATACCTTTACTTATCAGCCGTCTGCACCTGGCAAAGATCGTTGTCGACCAAAATGCGGCCCTGGACAATATTCATCTACAGGCCTTGCCCCATGCTCTATGTGCCCACGAGACTTTTACCAACCCCTAAGTGGACAAACCACTTGCATGGAATGTCCTACCAGTATGAAGACTGATGGTCCTGGTGCAACCAGTCGATCGGAATGCTTACCAATCCAATGCACAGAAAACGCTTGCCAACATGGTGGATTATGCGTACCAATGGGTCATGGAATTCAATGTTTCTGTCCTGCAGGTTTCTCCGGTAGACGTTGTGAGGCTGACATCGATGAATGTTCCTCTCAACCTTGCTACAATGGAGCAACATGTATTGATCTACCACAAGGCTATCGCTGTCAATGTCCACCAGGTTATTCTGGCATTAATTGCCAGGAAGAGAGATCCGACTGTAGAAATGACACTTGCCCAGAACGGGCTATGTGCAAGGATGAACCAGGTTATAACAATTACACTTGTCTGTGTAGAGCGGGTTACACAGGCGTCGATTGCGACATGACTGTAGATCCATGCTCAAACAATGGTAGCCCATGTAATAATGGAGCTACTTGCGTTGCTCTGCAACAAGGACGTTTTATGTGTGAATGTCTACCGGGATGGGAAGGACAAACTTGTGAAATTAACACAGACGATTGCGCTGAACAGCCATGTCTTCTAGGTGCCAATTGTACGGACTTGGTTGATGATTTCAGTTGTGCGTGTCCTTCAGGTTTTACAGGCAAGCGTTGTCAAGAGAAAATCGATCTCTGCTCAAAGAGTCCATGCAAAAATGGAATTTGTGTCGATAAATTATTCTACCATCAATGCATTTGCCAACCTGGATGGTCCGGTGAAGCGTGTGAAGTGAATATCAACGATTGCATGAATGATCCATGTGAAAATGGCGGTCAGTGTATTGACGGAATAAACGACTTCAATTGCACGTGCGAGGCTGGTTTTACTGGTAAACGATGCCAACACAATATCGACTACTGTTCAGCTGAACCATGCCAGAACGGAGCAACATGTACTGACCAAGTTGATGGTTTCTTATGCAAGTGCCGGCCCGGATATGTGGGCCTTCAATGCGAAGCTGAAATTGATGAATGTCTTAGCGACCCGTGCAATCCATTAGGTACAGAGAAATGCGTAGACTTAGACAACAAATTCCAATGCATGTGCCGCGAAGGATTTACGGGCATATATTGCGAGGAAAATATTGATGACTGCAAGTCGGACCCTTGTCTCAATGGAGGTTCTTGTCGTGATGAAGTTGGTGGATACAAATGTTTGTGTCCGCAAGGTTGGAACGGGGCTAATTGCGAAACTGACATTGGTACCTGCCAGAATAAGCCGTGCCAGAATGACGCCAGATGTATAAACTTGTTCCAAGATTACTTCTGCGTGTGCCCATCTGGAACTGATGGCAAACAGTGCGAGACTGCGCCAGAGCGTTGTATTGGTAATCCTTGCATGCATGGAGGCAAATGTCAAGATTTTGGATCTGGATTGAACTGCTCTTGCTCGAATGGATTCTCTGGTATTGGTTGTCAATATGAATATGATGCTTGTCAAACAAACGATTGTAAAAATGGCGCTACGTGCACGAACCACGGCAAAGGATTCCAATGCATTTGTCCGCCGGGTTACACTGGACGGTTCTGCGAGGAAGATATTATTGATTGCAAGGAAAACTCCTGTCCACCAAGTGCAACTTGTATTGATTTGACTGAGAAGTTCTTCTGTCAATGTCCATTTAATTTAACTGGTGAAGACTGCAGAAAAAGTAAGTTACATAGTTTCCCATAGAAACACAGATATTAATAATTAATGTTTATTTTATTATTTTGCAGCTATATCGGTTGATTATGACATGTACTTCAGTGATGCTTCAAGAAGTTCCGCAGCGCAGGTTATTCCATTCTACACCGGATCTAAATCCAGTTTTACCATAGCCATGTGGATCCAATTCACAGAAAAAGACGAAAACGGCATTTTCTTCACAATGTACAGCGTCACTTCTAAACACATGCCCACAAACAGACGTCCTATTGTTCAAGCTCATTCGAGTGGAGTTCAAATATCTCTCTTCCCAGACATCCAAGACGTTTATTTGAGTTATCGTGATTATACTACCATTAATGATGCGCAGTGGCACCATATTGCTGTAGTATGGGATGGTGAAAACGGTGGTGAATTGAAACTTATTACAGAAGGTCTAATTGCTAGTAAAGTAGAAGGATACGGCAGTGGTAGAAAACTACCAGAATACGCCTGGGTAACATTGGGTAAACCTCGTTCTGGAAATCCAAAAGGTTACACCGAAAGCGGTTTCCAGGGACATTTGACAAAGGTGCAGATTTGGGGACGAGCCCTTGATGTAACTAATGAAGTGCAAAAGCAAGTACGTGATTGTCGTACTGAACCAGTATTATATCGTGGTCTATTGCTAACTTGGGCGGGATATGAAGATACCGCTGGAGGTGTAGAAAGAATTGTTCCATCGCACTGCGGTCAACGGAAATGTCCACCTGGATACTCTGGTCCTAAATGTCTGAGTTTGATGTTGATAAAATACCACCAAAAGTAGAATACTGTCCTGGAGATTTATGGGTAATTGCTAAGAACGGATCTGCAATTGTATCATGGGACGAACCCCATTTCAGCGACAACGTCGGCGTTGTGAAAATTCAGGAAAAGAACGGCCATCGACCAGGTCAAACACTTTTGTGGGGAGTGTACCAAATTGCCTATGTAGCTTCAGATGCCGCTGGAAATACTGCTCTGTGCACATTTAAAGTATCACTCTTATCAGAATTCTGCCCTGAATTGCCAGATCCCATTGGAGGTGTGCAAACATGTAAAGACTGGGGAGCTGGCGGACAATTCAAGGTGTGCGAAATTGGTTGCAATCCAGGTTTAAGATTTTCTGAAGATGTTCCCAAGTTCTACACTTGTGGTGGCGAAGGTTTCTGGCGTCCTACATCTAATCCCAATTTACCAATGGTGTATCCAGCTTGTTCCGCCGCAAAACCAGCTCAGCGAGTATTCAAGATCAACATGCTCTTCCCGAGCTCAGTACTTTGTAATGAAGCAGGTCAAGGAGTCCTCCGACAAAAAGTACGAAACGCCGTCAACTCGCTCAACCGTGATTGGAACTTCTGTTCGTTCTCTGTGGAAGGAACTCGGGAATGTAAGGATCTCAACATTGACATATCCTGTGACCATCGCTCCAATCGGATCACTCGACAAGTTGCCACGGACGATGAAGAAGATGGTGGTACCTATGTGATTGACGCCGAAGTACCAGTACAACCGTAAGTACAATCCGCATTATTTAATCACAAAATCACATCAAACAGTAACCAGTATTAACGTTTGACGTTTCCAAGATAGTCGTTGTGTTTGCGCATGATGACCATCAAATGTCCTCAGAACGACGGACATCTTCACCGTTTTTTTTGTTTGTTTTATTTTCATTTACTTGTTGTGTGTTTTGTGTTTGAGCATGCTCGTAGTGTTGAGTACTTTTAGTCGTTTTACATACTCGTAGTTAGCACCCTGTGGCATGATTCGTTCCTTTGTAGCAAAAATCGCCAAGGACGGCAACAAATGAGCGATACCTACAACATTGAAATCTCATTCCCGGCCATCAAGTAAGCACCCACTAGTTTCTGTTTAGCCTACAGACACATTTGAACACGTTTGCTTTTCTGTTGAACACAAATATACATGTTTGCATGCTTTTTCGAACACATTATACATGGTGCACTACCCTGGTACACTTGCTTTCTATATTGTTTTTAAGCAATTAGCTAATTAATTGTTTTATTAGCGACCCGATCATCAACTCGAATACCAATGATAGATCATCGGTTCAACGCTTATTGGAAATGCTCATTTTGGAAGACGACCAGTTTGATGTACGAGACATTTTACCTAACACCGTACCGGACCCCAGTTCTTTGGTATTAGAATCAGACTATGCTTGTCCTGTTGGACAGGTTGTAATGGCCCCCGACTGTGGTAAGTACTATTGATAGTTGAAAAGAAATAGTAGGTATACTTAAAATAATTGTTTTACAGTTCCTTGTGCAATTGGCACATACTTCGAAAAGGATAGCAAGTCATGTATTCCATGCCCATTGGGAACCTATCAAAGTGAATCTGGTCAACTTCAATGTATTCAATGTCCCACCATTGCTGGACGTGCTGGTGTTACTATTGGATTGGGTGCAAGAAGTGCAGCTGATTGCAAAGGTACTAAATATTTTTTCAATCAAACTTACAGAAATAAAACTAAATGGCAAAATATAATGTAATTTTCAGAACGTTGTCCTGCTGGAAAATACTACGATCACGACGCAGGTCTTTGCCGCAGTTGCGGACACGGTTTCTTCCAACCAGAAGAGGGTTCCTTCTCTTGTAACATCTGTGGACTTGGTAAAACGACGCGCACCAACGAAGCAGTTTCCGCTAAGGAGTGCCGTGACGAATGCGCCAGTGGAATGCAACTTGCCTTGGACGGCAAATGCGAGCCATGCCCACGTGGTACTTACCGCATGCAAGGAATACAAGCAGCCTGTATTGCCTGTCCATTAGGGCGCACCACTCCTAAAGTTGGCGCTTCCAGTAATGAAGAATGTTCACTGCCTGTGTGTACACCTGGCACTTATTTGAATGGTACTTTGAACAGCTGCATACCTTGCAAAAAGGGATGGTACCAACCAGAATCCCAGCAAACCACCTGCATTGCCTGCCCACCGAATACCAGCACAAAGGGTACAGCCGCCACTAGCAAAGCTGAATGTACTAATCCATGTGAGATGAATGGACCTGAGATGCATTGCGATTCAAACGCATACTGTTTGTTGATTCCCGAAACAAGTGACTTTAAATGCGAATGCAAGCCTGGTTTCAACGGTACCGGTAAATTCTGTACGGACGTATGCGAAGGTTACTGTGAGAATGAAGGATCATGTGTAAAGGACGTTCGCGGTCAGCCTACTTGCAGATGCATTGGTAGCTTCACCGGTAAACACTGCGCAGAGAAATCTGAATTTGCCTATATTGCTGGTGGTATAGCTGCATCGGTGATTCTCATCATCTTCATCGTTTTGCTCATCTGGATGATCTGCGCTCGTGCCAATCGTCGTCGAGAACCGAAGAAACTCCTCACGCCTGCGACAGACCAAAACGGATCGCAAGTTAATTTCTACTATGGTGCTCCCACTCCCTATGCTGAAAGCATCGCGCCCAGTCACCATTCCACATACGCTCATTACTATGATGATGAAGAAGATGGGTGGGAAATGCCGAACTTCTATAATGAAACATACATGAAGGAAAGCCTGCACAATGGTGTAAACGGCAAGATGAATAGTCTGGCACGCTCAAATGCCAGTATCTATGGTACTAAAGAAGATCTATATGACAGATTAAAACGTCACGCTTATCCCGGAAAGAAAGGTAACGGAGATGACAATAGCTCCATTGATGAAAGGTTTTAATAGCTCTCTGTCTTTTCAGATAAGAGTGATAGTGAGAGTGAAGTGGGGCAATAAGAATGACAATCGAGTCTAGACTTCTGGTCAAACATGTGAATACGCTCAAAAATTGTTTTTGTTTTAATTATCAGTTGACCAATTATGTTTAATAGTGTAGACCATAGACGTGTGTGTACTTTTATATATAAAAAATCTATTCTTCATTTATTTAGCGCTAGGCGTATGTTTTCAATAATTCATTTTACTGAACATGAAACGGCAAAAATATATTTGTTCTCGAACCATTTCGGAAATTGTCGTATAACGTGTACAATATTGAAATGATTCCTGAACGAACTAGGCTAAAGATCATGAAATTTAATTACGAGTAGAAAACTTGTATCTGAAGACATGCATCATTATTAGTACTTGTTTCACTAGGTTTTTAAATCGCTCATATTTATATTTTGTAATTAATAAAGAAAAACGTATTTTTAGTCACGTACATTACGCTATTCTAAGCTAACGCTATGTATAAAGACGTAAAGAGATGAATGTTATAGTTCGTATTTATAAAAACTTAATAAGATAAATGTTATTTGTGTGTGTATATGATTATAAATATTTTGTATAAGAATGACTGAATAAAACAACAAGTGCAACACAAATACATGTATTTATTTATTCATTCTTTATACATCTGTTTGAATTGCGTTCAGCCAACAGGCTGAATGAAACAACCGCTCACCAGGGTCGCGATCAGCGCGCGTATTGCGAACTGACGCCGTCAGGTATGCACAGGCAGTCTTATTTCGGACACCGAGAGAATATCCCGTGTTCATCGCGTCTAGTTTTGTTTCTTCCGACAATAATTAAGTATATCGGTTTATATTCAATACCCAATGATCGGCATATATCGGAATCGGACGTAATTGGAGTTTTGCAAGTGCACGTGTTAAATGTTCATCAATCGCGGGTTATTCGTCGGGTTACTTGTGCGCGTGTTCCGTGGGCCGTCGGTTATTGTTTTTCGTCTATGGAATTATACTGAACTCAATTATTAAATGGAACCTATTTATCCTCAAGTGTAAGAGCTGCCGTGTAAGTAAAATTAATAGAAAAATTACCGTCTCCAACAATGGTTTTGTTACTAGTTTTCTTCTACACAACGTGGTATGGAATCTTTGCATCATAGCGCAAACTTTTGTTTTCATTACGCTTAACTCTCATGAACGGTCGGTATAATCTTCAAAAATTTTTCGTATATTTACAATTGACGACGTGTTTGTTGCAATTTAGCATGGGTAGTAAATCGCGACTTTGTATATAGGCATTTATTACGATCCGTCGGACACCTTACTTCAAATGGCACTATTAAAAATTGTAATAATAATTTATTTTTAATTGTGTGTTATCTCTATGATGAACCTTCGACTTTTTTATAGTTTAACTTATATCAATTTATTATTAATTGTTTTCTTTGTGTAACATTATGTCCCTGCTTTTACGTAAAAAATTAGCATAAAAATGTAGTTTCTTTCTTCCTGTAGTACCCTGTGTATATCTTCTCATTAAATGCACGTTTTCCTTTTGAATTTTCCTCTTGGGACAGCCTGTATCTTAAGTTTCTTTTGCATACATGTAAAAATTTGCTGAATTAATTGTCTTAAAAAGTTTAAAAATCTGCAATTGTGTTACATGTTTTCCATTTAGAATTTAAATTTAGTTTCCGAATCTGAAAACAGAATTTAAAAATTCCAACTTTTACTTTCGAACATAAAAAGAGAAATCTTTTACTTTTTTTATGATGAAATCTTTTTTTAACAAATGCAACTAAATAATTGGAATATTTAATTTTAAAATTTAAGTTTGATATTAAAAGTCCCATGCAGAGTATTTCTTATCTCGTGCAATTTTGTGCGGTTGCCACGCGGTTGCCTTGCGTAGCACGTTAGTCTCATTTTTGTTGTCAGGTGATGTGCACGCACATTTTCTTCATTATTCTTGAATTCCTTAATTTATCTTTTCGTTGTTACGTATTAATTTTGAATGCTTTTTGGATTGTGCGCGCGTGATGTGCGGCTTCGTTAAATACGGATTGCACCTTTATTGCGGCAGAAATTGTTAGCTGTTGATATTTTGTAATTGTAATGTAACTTTTGTTAAATGTTGTTAATAAAATACAATGTATAATTATAATCTCATTCATATTTCTTTGTGGTATCCTCTTTGTCGTTTTCAGTTTTAAATAATATGGCATATAAGTCTTATGTGTGAGCAGCGGGTATAAGATAACTAACTGTTACTTAAATTGTGTTGTTGTTTTTAAAACATGATAAAAACAGAAACATAAATAGAAGAATCAAATAACAACAACAAAAACACTCGGTGGTCGAGTGGAGACGTGCACGTGCTGGCATGCAAGCAGACACGGATCGAAGCTTATGTATAGAAGGCATTTTTCTCAAATATTAAAATATCAGGTGTAATTTGGGTTGCATATATGAATTGCAACGAAATATAAGAGAAATTGAAATACAAGTGAAGGCAATATGAGAAGAAATAAGAAAGCAAGAGCAAGTGGAGAAACGGAGAACAGGGAAATAGAAGAAGAAGAAGGAGTAGTAGAGAATAGGAGAATATAGAAGGAAGAGCACAGAGAGTTGAGTAGAGAAGAGGGAGGAGATAGAAGAAAGGAGAACAGGGAGGATATCAGATTTTTAAATTTTTTGGCGCGTGTCGTTAGACAGTAGCTGCTTTGATCCGTCCATTGCTCCCGGCCCAACCTACAGCTACGATGTCTCTACGCTTCATCCCCAGGATTCTTAGGCATATCAACAATTTTTATGGTGGGGCATCATCCCTTGAGTGGGAGAACTCCTTATAAGGACATTCCTTATAATATTTGTACAAATATTTCTAAGTTTTAAGTCGTCTCAAGAGAGGGGACATTTAAAAATATTCTTACAAGTTCTGACCTGAACCTGAAATGAGGATACATTAACAATTTTTATAGTGGGGATCATCCCTGAGAGAGGGAACTTTCTTAGAGACCTGTTCCTGAAATGATAGAAGGGGTACACAAATCAAAGAATTCAATATATCTTACTATTTATTTATTAACAATAGAATACAAGTTTAGATTTCACAAGTCAAGAAAATACATGCCGCCATATTGACACAGAACTACCGACCTGCATCGTCGCGCAAATACAAGCAAGTAACACGTCAAAATGTTCTAGCGGGATAAAGAAATTAGCAAATTGCACATTTTCTAGGTGATGGAAAATGAAAACAAATATTCAAGGTGTTACAAAAGAAAATTTTTAAGTGCAGACAGGAAAACATCTAAACACTCAAAAATCGCTCGATTTTCACAGTTAATCTAGGAAACAAATATACAGGCCGTTACAAAAAGAAAATTCAAAGAGCTAAAAGTTAAATTCTAATAACAGACGAAGCAAATTTTTAGGGATCTGAAGAAAAACGATCATACAAGGTGTCACAATTAGAAAATTCAACAATCAAATAGGAAAACATCTAAACACTACAAATATTGCTCGTTTTCACCCATTGCTGTGGGAATCTAATAAACAGAGTGTTACAAAACAATTTGAGTGCAAAAAGAAAGCCTTAAGTCACCCTTTTATGCAAATTTTCGGGGTTGCAGGTCGAATTCCAGCAACAAACATATACTACCCGACGGAGAATTTAATTCCGCATCTCTAGGCGCCGCGCTGAAGTTAATACGCCACCTAGATCGCGCGCAAACCCGAAAAAATACAAACAGTTCACGAGAAAAGGGTGAAAAAGTCACCACTTCTACTGTTACCTTCGTACGGTGCCCTGAACATGAGTCACTTCTACCGCTACCTTCAAAGGGTGCCCTGAACACGAGTCACTTCTACCGCTACCTTCGAAGGGTGCCCTGAACACGAGTCACTTCTACCGCTACCTTCGTACTGTGCCCTGAACACGAGTCAGTTCTACCGCTATTTTCGTAGGGTGCCCTGAACTCGAGTCACTTCTACTGCTACCTTAGTACGGTGCCCTGAACACGAGTCACTTCTACCGCAAGCCTCGTACGATGCCCAACGGCACTGGTCGGTGCAACGACAAAAACGGATTTCAAATTCATAATATACGCAAAATTCCCTATAAGATAAGCTTACACAAAAACTATTACAGATATCGATTTAAAATTTTAGTATGTTATTTTTAAAGATATAATCTATCGAAAATTGGCAAAAAAAAATTCGATTTTTTGAAAATTTCACACTAGGTGTGCCCCTTAAAATGAAAATCTGATTGTAGATTGTTGTATAAAATTTAGAAAGTTGCTATGAATTTAATTTACAGTGCAAGTGTGTAGGTATCAAAAAATGTAATGGAGAGATTGCGGTATCTGTGTTATCTGGTCCCGGTGTATAGGTAAATGAGGCTGCTGAAGTGAATGCGTTGACGGGTCTCGTCTCCTTCGTATAAATGGCCTCTCGTCTGCTCGTTCAAAATATATGTACCTTGTAAGCGAAATAAACATTGTAGATTACTGGTTATATGCTATGTATATGGAATAGTGGCGGTATCTGTTAATTATCTCATTGATCACAAGTAGTTGGTTTAAAACCAGGTGCGGTTCAGCACGATGGGCTGAACGTACCAAGAATATTATCGGCTTAACCCGGGGGCGGTTCAGAACGAGGGTCTGAACGAAAACCTGACCGGACGGTTAAGCACTCGCAAAAAGAAAGAGAAATGTACACAGCGTTAATGAGCGTAGCCTTGGTCGATTGAGGTTAGGTATGAGTCGCATGATGGCTGTTAGTATCAAGTGGAGTTCGTAATGTAATGTGTTTACTCATACCTTGAGCAGTAGTTTTGGGTGAACTGAAATACTGTATCGATGTAGTTCGTCGTACCTTGTAGCAGTAATTTTGGGTAAAATGGAATACTGTACCGATGTAGTGTTCGTGTGATGCTGGCACAAAACGGAATGAGATGAGTTCGTGAAAAATGTTAGTTGGTACCCCAATCGTTCATCCTCGCGAGGGGAGTCCGTAGTGTTGGCTGGCACACCAGTAGTTCGTCTTGGCGAGGGGAGTCCGTAGTGTTGGCTGGCACCCCAGTAGTTCGTCCTGGCGAGGGGAGTCCGTGGCTCCACCCCTAACGGTGACTTTGTGAGTCATTTAGTGGTCTGATCGCGTCAAAAATTGGCGGAGGGTGATTCTTCTAGGATTTCATGCTTATAGTATTTGTTTGCTAAAAGGCTTATATGTATTCAAGAGAGAAATGATTATTTGTTAATGTTAAAGTTTTAAAAATTGTGAAAGATTTGATAATCCTCCATTATCTATTCCGTGAAATATATATATGGCCGAATAATATTACTTAGTTATAAACATACCAATGCAGCGCTCATCGGATTGCAAGGGTACGGCATGTACTGTAACTAAAAGAAAACATAAGGTAAAAAAAAATCATGTGTGTAGTTCACCCCCGGTAGAAGTAAAACCTTCAGTACACTGCACTCCGTGAGAATGAGACGAAAATAGTATCAGGAAAAAAAACTGGCGCTTTATAGGTGGAAGTAAAAAATCAAGAATTTCAATTTGTCAGAACACACAAAGCGGAGACGAAGATAATAGGAAAGTATATTTGTGTTCTCTTATTCTCTCGCAATCTAAACCATATAAACGAATACGTTTGTCTCTTTTTAGTGTCATTTCATTAATTTTGAAGTCACAACAATTCTAAAGAAGTTTTCACTTTAACAAAAACATTTAATACAATACGAGTATGATAATATTATATTCACACATGGGAGAAAACAAGTACAAAACTTAGTATCGCAATGGTCAGATAAAAGTAACTTACTCAAGCACGAATAGGTTTCCGATTGATCTAGCGACCGACCACGTCCTACAATAACCGAAATATTTTATTTGAAATATAAACATCAAAAGCCAGCAAAAAAAAAAACATTTTTCTACTTCCACCTATGAAACGCCAGTTTTTCCACAGTTTTTAGACAGAAAAAGATGACCAAATATAATGTAAACTTTGAAAATAGAAGTCTGATAAAACGACACTCGTGCGATATACATCTGGACACGCCAGAGACCGGTACTAAACTAGCTGCAATCCATCAATAGAGCATGCCGAAACTGCACACGTAAAAATACGACAGTTCACAATAAGACTCTGTGCTTGCTGCATAAACCCGGCAGGTAAAAGCAATAGATGCGCAAAGCCAGCGCGTCGATGCCCCGCGACCTTGTGCGCGAATTACAATAGATGCGCAAAGCCGGCGGCGCGTCGATGGCACGCGACTTTGTGTACGAATTGCAATAGACACGGTTCCTGTGATAAGAACTAAACTAAACTGTGCTGCATGCGACAGCGCGACGAGAATCTCACGCGTAGCATCTCGCACGGCGAATGCGATAAGAAAGTGGTTTATACACAAACGCTGATATGATTCAAAACGACTACAATTCTATTTTATGATTTTTAGTTCATGCTAGTGAACTAAAATTTAAATCATGAAATTATGATTTATGATTTGAGTTTTATTGAAACAAAAATTTCCGCAGATGATATCAATTTTCTAATTGCAAGAAATCAGGAAAACAGATACTATGAATGATAAAAACTTTACTTACCAGTGTATGGAACACCGCAAATCCATTGTGAGAAGATACTGAAGATACACACAATTTCGGACAATGAGTTCCGGCGGAACCCAAAGTTTACCATAAATTTCGTCTTGTTCTCCATAATTATTTAAATTAGTATTCGTACCAGGTAACACATTGAGCCAACGAGTTGTGCAGAAGTCAAAAATGGTCCGCTCAAGTCCAAGACATTATTTATTATCACACACAAAGTCTGCCGGCCGGCGTCCGACGACAACCGATCAGAAATCCACGCGAAAATGTAATAAACACACAAAATATTGAATTCCGAAGATTACATACGCGATAAATATTTACCGAATGACCAAACATGACAATTAACACTAAATTCAATAAAATATAACGCGATATACCGAATTTACAACGAGAAACACAAATACAAATACGACGGAGTATTCTTATGTGCCGCACGAAGTAAGAGCTGCGTGCCGGCATCACAACTGTGCACGTCGACTTTCACTCGCAGGAATATTTTTAGTTAAAAAATGCATCGTTGCGCTACCTGAGAATACTTTATTGTACCTCCAGAAAATACAAAGCGTTTCAAAAAGTGTGGCGTACATATGAGGCAGTGAGCGATTGCCAATGTTTCAGTGAGTGGTCACGCACTTAAGTGGCCGGTCCATGTATCACATGTACACGAGAGTGCGCATGCACCACCCTATCTAAACAAATATCAATTTTAACACAACTCAAAACTTCAATAATAGAAGTCAATAGGAGCAGTTAGTATGTCAATTTTTTTAAATTTCGAACATCTGTGGAGGAGATGAGTTGAGGAACATTCCATTGAGGTTGTAAAATAGCGGGTAACTCTCTTTTTTGGAATATTAATTATTTCGTCTTTCTATCATTTTTTCACATCATTTTTTGATGGCTTAGATATCACAAACTGTAGGGGCCAATCTTATGATAACGCTGCTAACATGTCTGGCAAGTACAGTGGATTACAGGCACGCATAAAACAACATTCCAAATCAGCTGAATTCATACCATGTGGAAATCATTCTTTAAATTTGGCTGGGAATACTGCAGCGGAATCTTGTTCTGGAGCATTACAGTATTTTATGTTTATGCAAAATATATATATTTTCTTTGCTGCATCAACAAGACGGTGGAATATTTTTACTGAATGCATGAAAGATAAGAATTCTAAAAGTATCAAGAGAATAATTGATACACTATGGTCCGCAAGAGCTGACGCTGTTTTAGCCCTAAGACTAAATTATCATTCAATAGGAGACACTTATTCAAAATATATGAATCTAATTACAATATTATTATAATTATTATTATATTATTAATTGATGGTTTTTATCGACGATTTTCTACAGCAACGAAAAATTTTATGTAAAAAAGTTCGACCGAAAAATTTTTAACTAAAAATTCGATCAAAAAATTTTAAATAAAAAAGTTCGACTTCGGTTTTCGACCGAAACAAAGTTAACAAAAAATAACCAACAAAGAACACCCCAATAACACAAACCGTTCCCGAAATATGAGCCAATTTCCACGACAAAACACGAAAAATATTGAAAATAGCCTAATTTTGAAGCCAATTTTAAGGGTGTTTCCGACCGAAGTCAGGGAGTGTCAAATGCGTATCGTTTAAAATGACTCTTCTACAATAACAAAAAATAAACACCCCAATAACACATACCGTTCCCGAGATATGAGCTTTCCACGACAAAACATGAAAAATATTAAAAATTGCCCAATTTTGAGGGTGTTCCCGACCGAATTCAGGGGGTGTCAAATGCGTATCGTTTAAAATTACTCTTTTTTACAATAATAAAAAAAGAACACCCCAATTATTATTAATTAAATCATGAGATTTTCCATATTCATATATACAGTCCCAAAACAGAGAAAGGCATACTTTGTTGCGGAAATAACAATAACTTATAATAATTTATTTTTATTGTTGAGAATTGATGTTAATAAAGTCAACCGCTTGGACCAATTATTGCTTAATTTTGCTAGCATAAATAAATCAATAAATAAACATATTGGGAACTTCCTAAATAGTCACCACGTTGAGACGATGAAATATAATTATATGATTTACCTACAAATTATACTAGGTATAAGATAACATACGTTTGAAAAGTATTGTACATAAATATTGAACCTGTTAACCGTGTCTTAGCTATCTTTGGTACAAACGGATTTGACTTCGTTCGCTATTAAAATACTGTTTATACAAGTTCTGATCACTCATAATGGCATGGTAACAAATGCAGCTCACTTCATGATTAAATTTAAAAATCTAGCTAAAATCAGGTTCCGGCGACACCATTAACCTGTAATGCGTTCGCAGATCGCATTCGTAAACTCAGAGCATTTCGCCTTACCGCCGAGATCCCCTGTGAGGTACTTGCCCTCGGCGATTGTATCGTAACAGGCTTGCTCAATTTTCGCTGCGTGGCTCTGTAAGCCCATGTATTTCAGCATCATCACTGATGAAAGAAGAAGCGCTGTGGGGTTGGCTAAGTCTTTGCCGGCAATATCTGGTGCAGTACCGTGAACCTATAACAAATTATATCAAATTTGATAAAAATTTTAGAATAAAAAGTGAAAAAATTAAACATACAGATTCAAATAGAGCACCATTGATGCCAATATTTCCAGAAGGAGTCAATCCCAAACCGCCAACCAAACCAGCGCACATATCAGAGAGAATGTCGCCGTACAAATTAGGCATAACGAGGACATCGTACTGATGGGGATCTTGCACCATGTTGAGGCACACAGTGTCAAGATATTTTTCTTCGAACTTGACTTCTGGGTACTTCTCCGCCATCTCACGACAGCAACGCAAGAAAAGACCGTCGGACATACGCATGATGTTAGCTTTGTGCACGGCGGTGACTTTCGTACGTTTAGTGTCCCTGGCGTATTGGAAAGCAAACTCGGCAACGCGTCGCGACGCTTCTTCCGTGATCAGCTTAATACTCTGCACAACACCATCGACAATTTCATGCTCAATGCCAGAGTACTCGCCTTCTGTATTCTCGCGAATGGTCACCACATCGACATTGTCATACAAAGTTTTGTATCTGAACAATAAATATTGTTATAAATTAAAATATTCAAATGTAGTTAATAAGGCATACCCTTCCAGACTCCTGCAAGGCCTGACATTGGCATACAAGTCAAACTCTTTCCTCAGGGCCAAATTAAGAGACCTGTGGCCTTTACCAACTGGTGTCATGAGAGGACCTTTAAGCCCAATTTTGTTTCTGTTTACAGAGTCAATGGCAGCTTGAGGAATACCAAACTTTCCATCTGGACCCTAAAAATCGATTTTAAGAATAAAAACACTGATGATTTATAGGTAAACATCAATAATTTGTAACTTTTACATACTCTGACAGGTGTGACATCAACAGATTCCCACTCAATAGGTACACTGGCAGAGGCGAAGATTTTTTGCACAGCCGCCGAAATTTCGGGCCCGATGCCATCGCCGGGAATAAGTGTGCATTTTCGCACTTCAGAACTGTATAGTCTAGCTCCATTGGCGTTGGCGCCCACCTAAAACAGCCAGATTCAATCTATTAACCTACAATGCAATGTCAGAAAGTTGGATTACATAACACGGACCTTGCTCGCAGAATTATTGAATTAAATTCATGCACACATTTACATACAAAACAATTGTAACTGCACTATAACATTACCGTAAAACAGGTAAAAACGTAATTTTATGCGCGCATTATGACTACTAAGCACATTGTTACTCACCAATTTTTTAAGTAGCCTGTGAGCCATTGTTTGTTGGGCCGCACTTTGTTTTTATTTACAACCGACGAAAATGAAAGTTATTAAAGTAATTAAGCGTGCTATGAATAGAGCGGTTATTCTTTTTCGATCGCCAAACGAAAAGCACGCAAAATCCTTGTCAAATGTCAGATTGCGAACGTGGAGCGCGTGCACCAGCTGAAAATAGACCGCGCATATCTGTAGTAGTGCGAAGAAACGCCTCTCTCGGCAACCAAGAGAATCTCAGGTTGCGCGAACCTAAAATTCAAATAAAATTCAAATTTTATTGCTTATTTCAATTTAATTCATACTTACATATCATTGAATTGAATGCTATGATGTTTATTCAACAGTAACATACTGCCGATAAAAAACTTGTCACATTATAACCATGACAATTGAATAAATTAATGACACTTAACTGATATTATACAGGGAACTTCGAAATCAATCAATATTGTGTAGTTTTTATTTATTATCTGAAGTTCAATATATCTTCAAACTTCAAACGTCATTAATCCTAAAATATACACTAATTTTACACGTTTTACAGTTATATTAACTTTACTCGCACTTACCTAAAGTAATTTATTTCGTGTTTTCAAAATGAATCCCATGTTGCAAAGACACTGCGCAAAATTTATTTATATTGTCCCTGATGGTTTGCGCGAATTAATGTCGGATATATCTCGCGAAGTGATAAGAACGCAACCGGAAAATGTTTATACTTATATAGCTGATTATTTGGATGCTTTGATGATTACAAGAGAAAATGCGAGAAGTATTCAATGAATTTTAACATGTTAAACATGTTTTATTAATATTTGTAAATTGTTTAGTTGCCGCAAGATTGGTTGACAGTATCTGTGAAATAGCTGAAACCACCGTACAACTTCTGCTTCGGGTGGGACTTAGTCGTTCCGAAGCGGACGCCATTGTTGTAATTATTCAAACCGCTTTCCGGGAATATTTGGAGCGAAAGAAAAAATATCCACCATCCGAATTTCCTGGAGGTATAGTGTTCATAAAGTTTTGTCAAAACTAAATATTAATTAAATTCTGATTTAGAAATGGGTGAAGAAGAAGACTTCATGAAGAAAATATTTAATCAAATAAAGGTTAGCGCTGATAAGGTAGAACAAGCAGTAATTATCATCCAAACAGCTTGGAGGAATTTCAAAGAACGCCAAGAACGCGAGAAGAAAATGCTCTTCGGTATGGTTGATTGGCGAATTGCTGCAAGAAGTGCCATCATGTTATACAGGAAAACTGGTGTAACAATGTACGAAGCAAATCGTGCTGCCACGCTAATCAAAGCAGCGTACAAAGGATATTACACTAGAAGGATCATGAAGCGATTATTGCACATGGGTCTGGAAGATGAAGTAACTGAACAGATAGAATCTACTATTTCAGCAGATTATGATTTGGAATCAGAAACGTAAATAATTCCAATTTTATCCGATAATAATTATTTACAAAAACATATTTTTTACAGGGGTGAATTTACGGATTATTTATCCGACATAGGATCGTATGGTGAAGATGGCACATCACACAACGTGCTCACCTTGGAAGCAGGCGCTTCAGATGCTTCCCATCCCCATCGCGAGCGTCATACTCGTCCTCGGCATCACACTCCCTCGCGACGAGCCACAGCTGCAGCTAAAACTACAACCGCAAGCAAATCAAAAATTGCAACCGCGAGTGAAACAAAGTCTGCAAAAGCAACGACTTCGCAAGAAAAAAGACCTTCATGGACTGCACCAGCCGATGGTCCAGTCACCATCGAGAAAAGAGAATCACTACCAAGAGATGCAGATGCACTTCATCCGGAAGACTACTACCCGATTACAGAGCGATTATCAGAAGCAGGTGAAGGTGGAATAAGCCCATCCGTACCAGATGTTATAGAAGACGATGAAAAGATGCAGACGCCTCCCAATACCGAACAAGAAGAAGTTAGTGAAGGTGTTGAAGCAGATGAGGCACCTACCGAAGCAGAGGGAGAAGTAGTCGCAGGACAAGATGCAGAACTGGAGGCACCTACTGAAGCAGCAGAGATACCCCCAGGAGATGATCAAGAAGTTGCTGAAGCACCTGAAGAAGTTTCCAATGAAGATGTTGCTGAACCCGCAGCTGAGGAAGCAGTATCCGCAACTGAGACACAGGAAGAGGTCGCTGCAGCTGAGCCGCAAGAAGAGGTTGCTCCTCCTGGTGAACCAGTGGAAGCGGAACCAGCGGAGGAAGCAGCAAATGAAGTGATTCCAGGTAAAATAAATAAAACAAAAAGTTAATGCAAAAGTATAAAAATATTCATTTGTAGATGATGAAAACGAAAAAATAGATGGCACAGCTGATGAAACAAATCCGGAACAATAAAATCGTTAAAATATAATAAAATAGAAACAAATTGTAAAAAAAATCAACTGTTTAGTTTGTTAGTAGACCACGGATAAATAAATTACCACTCGTGGACAACTCATCTTTGATTTTCATCAGCTCCAAAGCAAGATCATCTTTAGAAAAGCTCTCCTTTTTGAACTTCTCTTCTAATCGGACACGTATTGCTTCGGCAATGTCATCGCCATCCTATAATTATTTATTACACAAACCACTTTTATATTTATTATTTTATATTTATTTTGTTCACTTACTGCAATAGTTTTCTGTCGTATACGTGGCTCAAAATTCTGAATATTCTTCAACCCATCAGCACATTCTAATTCTTTCAAATATTCTGTAGACCACTATAAACATGTATATGTTATTGAAAACGTTTCGAACTAATTTTGTAATTTTAATACCTTAATAACATTCTCGGGAAAATCGGCAACTTTTGCGCATTGAATACCGTAGCTCTTATCACAAATTCCTTCCTTAATAGAATACAAGGGTGTGATTGCATTATCAGTCAATATCATACTGACGTGATAATTGGCTACAGTCGGAATATCATTCTCAAGTTGCGTAATTTCATGATAATGCGTGGCAAAAAGCGTAAAAGCTTTAGTTTCTCTAGACAAATGCCTAAAAATAAACTTATAAACAAATCTGCATCAATCTCTAATAATTTCTAACATACTGAGCAACCGCCCATGCAATACCACAACCATCATATGTAGATGTCCCACGACCCAGTTCATCAATAATCACCAAGGAATTCGATGTTGCGCACTATAAATAAATCCGAATTTATTACCCAACTGAAATTTGTTGGAAAAATCCTTTGCTTACTCTAATAATACTGCTGGTATCAATCATCTCCATCATGAAAGTGGACAATCCTTTGGACTCACAATCACCAGCCCCGACCCTTGTAACAATACTATCCACTATTGAGATATCAGCTTCTTCGCATGGTACAAAACATCCAATATGAGCTAACAAAGTACACACGCCCACAGTCCTTATATAAGTACTTTTACCACCCATATTGGGCCCGGTAATAATCTTAAAAGTGCACTCGTCCTTCATAAAGTCTACATCATTCGGAATGCAGTTATCATCCTGTCGTTCTAGGCATGGATGTCTTGCTTTCTTCAACCGCAAAATTCCACTTCCCATCGGCATCAAATTGGGTCTCACGTATGGAATAGGTGCATTTACAGCACACACAGCAAAACTAACCAATACATCCGCAATGGCAATCGATTGATTCATACTCTTAATCACATCCGCATACCCCGAAGCCACTTGAATAATCTCATCAACGACAGTTTCTTGTTGTTCCTCGTAATTTTTCTTGATATCTTTATAGTCATCATTGTATGAAGCTAGTTTTTCATTATTAAATCGTACACCTCCCTTGACCACGTCAAAAATCGTGTAAGATTTATTCTTTCTCATCGCTTGTTCTTCTTTGAGAGTCACTCTGAAGAAGTAACCATGTTGATTTGTGCAATCCAACTTTATGGTTTTTCCTGCTTCGTAACCCAAATCATTTGCAGCACGTTTTAGTAACGATTGCATTTTATCTTCAATTATTTGTTTGCGATTGAATAAATCATGCAGAACCGGATCATAAGATGGTTTGACGAAATATTCATCTCTGTCGACCGAACTCAACTCCATGGTTTCTTCAATCATGCGTTGGTACTTTTGTAACTCTTCTAAACGCTCACATATCGGATCAACAATCAAAGCAACGACCGCAGCATTATTGATGTTTTGCAAGGTTTCTACCAGAGCAGGGATCAAATCCAACGCTTGATACACTTTGAAACAATCCTGGAGCGTAGCTTTCTTCGTGGCCAGACGTTTCGCCAACATTAATAAATCAGGAAGTTTCAATCTGTACTTCGATAACTGCGATCGCGCATCTGCGTCCTGCACCAAAGCTTGAACAACCTCTAGACGATCGTTTAAAATATTCAGATCACGGATAGGCTGTTTAATCCACATTTGCAACAAACGCTTTCCTTGTGGGGTCGAACAATTATTCAGTACGCCATAAACAGTATCAAACTGATTATTAACAGTTCCAGGTTTTGCTAATAAATTAAGCGCGTAAATGGCGGCATTATCAATGCGCACCAAACGTTTTTGATTCATTGATTTCAATCTGTACTGGTTAAAGTTCTGCGTATCGGACATCAAGTTCAAAGAATTAATTACAGCTCGAGCAGAACACATAGCCTGAGTCAATTTGCGTTCGCTGAAAGCGTGTACATTGCGCGTTTGATTTTCGGCGAAATACAGCAAACGATTCAAGTCCTGATCTAATTTAGACTCGTCATAATCTTCTTTTTTGCTTGTTCCCACCAGAACGTCATTACGCTCCAGCATCTCCTTTAGAGTTTCCAGTTCTTTCGAACTGCCCGATGGAATGACGCATTCCTTGGGATTCACGTACGCCACAACAGCTTCAAGCTCCGAGAAAAATTCATTATCATCGAATTCGGTGACTGTGATATCACATTCGGTTGTATTCACACAAGCTAGCCCAATGGAATGACCCCTTAAATGTACTCCCATGACAGAAGTACTAATCACCATATCGCGATTGTTTTCAAACAAAATACTCTCAAACTGTTGTAGATTACCAGGTGATGCTTTGTATTCGACTTTCCAGTCGTTGACGCGCGGAGGTGATACTTTTTCATAGACTTCCACTCTATATTGCCGGACGAGGAGTAATTCACGGATGAAATTCTCAAAATTGTTTTCACTCAAACATAAATACGGCAGTTTTTCCGTGCCCATGTATTTCGTAACATTATTTTTGAAAACAATTTCAGCGGCAAGAGTAGCGTCGTCCTCATGTACAGAATAAAACTCGGCGTGATGAAAAATTCGCACGGTCGAAGCGCTTTTCTGGTATAAAAAGAAATATTTCCAACTTTAACTGCCAGACGCATTAATTACCAATAATTTGTAAACGTCATTAATTTATTGATTAAATAAATAATTCTAAGAAAGAATGTTATTTACGACAGTGCTATAAATTTCTTGGAAGTCTATAATGTTTTTATGAATAAATATTGACCTCGCTACACTTAGATAAGTCGATGATCCATTAAGATGACCCGCGAATCCACCAAGTGCCACAGATACTCGTAAATGAAATTCGGTGAATTCGAAACAAACTTTCCCTGTTTCACCAAACTCAATGAATTTATTCAGAAAATACTAATCATATAAATCATGGTCAACCACCAGGGAATACCGATTTCGATGTTTAAAGTTAAAACACTCCTAGAATAAATCGAATTGATTGCAAATAAACTTCTCGCTTAACAAACGCAAACACATCTGTGTCAATGGGTGGGGATCATTATCAGAGTCCGCATTTAAATACTCTACATCTGCATATTCGCAGCATATATTATCGTACAGCTGAAGTTGGAGTTGACGTAGAGAATTAACGAATTTTGTAAGTACAAAGTTCTCATTGATTAAAACTCAGGCAATATTTGATCCTTTATATTTACAGAGAAAGTGCCAACAATGAAAACGTTAATAGTCCTTGGGGCTGTTATATTAGCAGCGTGTGCAGCACCTGAAGGCTACTTTAAGCAAGAATACCAATTTAAGAAGTCCTCATCCACGTACAAAAATAACCAGTTGGAGACAAAGAATGACGATGAAGGATACTACGGCAAACATGGCGATTTAACAGGAGAGTCGGTACCGCAGGTGCAACAACACAACCAGCACTCTGAATACATAAGCCCAATGGTTGATAATGTCGGCCATTCCCTGACCACTTACAACGATCGTGATTTAACTTCCGAGGCCGAGAGTGCATTCAAAGCGCACAATATCCTTCCCGGAACAAATCGGCAATATTCCCAGAGTACATACACGACTCGATCAAACTTGGGCCAAATCACCCAAAATCTACAATATGATATGGAACAGCAGCTGCGTGATGCTATTAGGGCAATGAGGACTCAGTCGGCATATGGTAGCACTCAAATGCGATCCGAAGATGTGCAATATTTGGAGAATCAACTGCGTAATAACATCACTAGGCAGTTACAACAAAGTCTTCACAACCAGTATGGGGCACAAACCACCAGGGGTCAATCATCCTACAGCACCACATCCGCAGGTGGTTACAATCCTACAGCCAACTACGACACCAACGAGTTGACCAATTTACGTCAGCAGATGGAAAGAGAATTGCTTAGGAAACTCCACGAAGGTACCAGCTCATCATCATATGCCCAAAGCAGCAGCAGTAGTTCCAGTAGTAATTGGAACTCATATGGAGCCAGCAACAGAGGATATCAACATAGAGATTCTGCCGAAGTCGATGATTTAAACACGCACGGTCACCGCCAGGTCCCTAGCAGTTCAAACTATCGCCCCGTTCCTGGAAACAACGATTTTCAACGGCCTGAAAGATTCAGCTATGGCCAACAACCCGCGTCCAGTTCCCAAACTTCCTACGGATCAAGTTATGGACAAGCATCTCAATCAGGATCAAGATACTATGGTTCCAGCTATGATCGTGACTTCCCCACATTATCGCAGTCTCAAATCACCGTGAATCCAACCAGGAGAGTTACCGATGTCCTGCAAGGCGTTCAGAACGACCTTAACCAACAAGTGCGCGAAGCATTGAGCACCTATCAAGCAAGATATTCCGGATCCTCGTATACCTTGACCAATAGCCGACCAGATTATAATGTTGCTTTAGATGACCTCAAACGCCAGTTACGCTACAACATCACTAGAAAGATTGAAGACGAATTGGATCGTACCTATGGGCGTCAAGACGTTCGAGGTGAATACTCCTTTTCTCAAAACCAGCGCACAAATGCCAATTACAAAACAGCGGATTTAGAGGATCTCAAGAAGCAGATCGAGAATAATTTGATCAACTATCTGGAGACCTCATTCCGCTCTTACGAGTCTCACCACCAACAATCTCGCACGCAGTACACCAACTCCCAGAGAGACTACACGAACCAAGGTCCACAATACACGCAGTCTTTGACTTCCGACACCGCCCAAAATCCGACTTATGTCCGCTATGAACCCAGTAGATCATGGAGTTCACAGTCCTCATGGAGCTCTCAATCATCGTACGGTTCGACCCCGGATGGAAACACTCAACAACCACTCAATTCCCAATTGGAGCAAATCCGTGCTCAATTGCAACAAGACCTCAGCCGCCAGCTGCAATCAGCAGTGTACGAGCAGAAAAGCCATTCTTCTTACAACACCCAGAGCCAGAGCCAAGTTGAGCAGCTTCTCAACAATGAACTCAGAAGTAATCTCACCAGACGTCTCGAGGAAACCCTGAATCAACACTATGGTAAACAAGGCATCCGTGGAGGTCAATCCTATACCATTTCTGCAACCGGGGTTTACAGCCCGAATGCCAATTATCGTCAAGAAGATTTGAATCGATTGCGCCAACAATTGCAAGATGATCTAGTTAGAAACCTTCAGGAACAACTGCGCACTTCTCAATACAGCGCTTCCAGCGGTGGATACAACAGTGGCTACATGTCACAAGGTTCGTATGGCAGTCATAGTTCAGGCTATCATAGCGGCGTAAAGAGCGGAAGGATGCAAAAATATGACCAATTCGGTCAGCATCAATCGGTGGGCAGCACCATTGGAGAGGATTGCAAATAATTTTGGAGAGAATTGAATTCGAATATGATTAGACTTAGTACAATATTGAAATTGCGCAAAACATTGGTTGATAAAATAGCAGCTTCATGATTGCTTCTAGAAGCAATAGGGAATATATTTATATAAACATAATAATTGTAACAATTATGTATGTGTGAGCTTAAATAAACAAATATATCTTTGATAAACATATTTTTCGAATTGGATTGACTTCTGTTGCATACAAACGAAAGCGAAATTAATCCGTAATGGCGGCGCGCGTGTGATAAGGTTGCTATTTTAGTACAACTATTGCGTAATGTAATTAATATTATCAGTAATTGATAAAAATAATTTATTATTTGAAGGTCCGAGGCGGCCGGTGGTCGCTCATGATGGACAAGGTCAAGTCGCAGAAGATTTGGGTCAACAAACTATCGACGACCTCGGGCAGCAACTTGAAAATGACGACGATTTGGTACAGAAAACCTATGAACCTGGGTTTGAAGTGGATTCACACACAAAGCCTGTTCGGGGAGATATTGGGCAAGCCAATCTTAAACCAGAGGTTAGGAACAAAACAAAGCCAATAGGACAACAGATAGAAGATCTTGGGCAAAAATATGAAGACTTAGACGGACTCACTCAACAAACTGAAGATGACTTTGGTCAGTTTGAGTTGGGTAGTAACAATAGGAATTATGGCAATTTGCAAGTGGGCAGTCAAGTAAAACCAAAATTAGTAGGTCAGCATACTGAAGATTTGGGTCAGCAAGTTGAGGACCTAGGGCAATTAAATCAAAACGAAGACGACTTTCAAAAACCAATGCCTGATGAAACGTTTGAATTAGGCAGTAACGGAAACCGTGGAAACTTACAAAGCGGTAGTCAAAGGAAACCCGTAATAGTTGGGCAGCAAACAGAGAATTTAGGGCAACAAATTGAAGATCTAGGACAGATAGAAGACAATGAAGATTACCAAAAACCAATGACTGATGACACTTTTGGACAGTTTGAATTGGGAAGTAACAGAAATCGCGGAAACTTACAAAGCGGTAGTCAAAGAAAACCGGTATTAGTAGGCCAGCAAACAGAAAATTTAGGACAACAAATTGAAGATCTAGAACAGATAGAACAAAACGAAAACTTCCAAAAACCTATGACTGATGATGATTTTGAGCAAATCCAAGTTGGCAGAGATGTAGGTCAACAAACGGAAGATCTCGGTCAAAAAACCGAAGATATCGGCCAACAAACCATGGATTTGAATCCTGGCGCCACTTATTCGCAGACTACAAATAATCAGGAATCCGTAGATTATGCCGATGATATAATTCTTGGTGTCCAACCTTTACAACATAAGACTACCACAACAGCAAAGCCTTCAACAACAACTTACGCCACGTACAGCGTATATCGAAATAGATACTACCCAAATAGATATAGTTCAGGAAACTACCTGCGACCCACCTCAACCACTGAAAAAATGACTGTCTTCAACCAAGAACAAGAGATCGACAGACTTGCTGACCAATTGGCTGAGACCCATGGAACTCAGGATGGGTTCAATAACGAATTCATCGATCACGGAGACTACTTGCAACATAAACCACAAGGTCCGCAAGTTAACGATTTCCATCTACCCGAGACGCAATTCAATGACGATTTCACCCAACAACATCAAGAAGAAGATTTCAACATGTTCCAAAATCCCGAAAATGATGGTGCACCACCCGCAATGAGTTTGAGTGATGTACATCGTTCGTACATCGCTCAAGATCAATACAGAGGTGCACCACACGGACAGCAGTTCAATCCAAATCAAATTTCGCAGTCTAGAAGACTACCAACGGAACAAGAACAGGATTTACAAAGACCAGAAGACGATCAACAAGTGTTGCCAACTATGCCTAGCGCAACCATCCCAGTCAATCATTACAGACCAAACAACCATCAGAGCCATGATTTTGATGATGCGCAACACCATATAGATCTAGACCTTGGGCGTGAACCATATGTACCACCCTATCAACAATTAATAAGGATGTATAATAGTAATACATCTCCAGTAAAATACCCGGAGGGAAACCAAGAACAATATGAAGAAGTGTCACCTCCACAAGAAACTCAAAATCATCCAGACCCTGCAGACAAAGATACAAGTTCAGCAGGCATTGAAGAAGAGGAGGCCGTCACTGAAGTAGTAAAACCGTTAGGTTTTTGGCAAAAAGTTGGTGGTAAAATCACCAGTAGCTTTAAAACAGTAAAGCAAAAAGCTAAAGATCTTGTAGGGCCAAATAAGATGCCTCAACGAATGATAAAATAACTTATAAGCGTTATGTAGATTTGTAGCAAATTAAAACTGTTAGAAAAATATATGAATCAAGAACTTTCCATAAGTGACTAGTCACCTAATGTTTCTGTACAAAAACAAAACTATTATATCAATAACAATTCCGAAAATGAATCAAAACGTGACGCATGATGCATTATAAACCAATAATATATTAAAATATTTTAAGACCTACCTCGGACATGTTTTTGTAGAAGCGTATGAACCCCTGGATCTGGTTCGGGTCTACAAGAAAGTAGAATTAGTAAAAGTAGAGATTATTGTTAAATAATGAAATTATTACCCAGATTCATGGCTTTTAATGGTTGAACATTTGCCATGACGTCTATTAACTGTTATTCACGTAAACTTAAGTATTTGCACAATTTTCGAGAGTAACAACCGAGACTGTTGATGAATTGAGTAACCTTAAAATATCATAACAAAGTAAAAGCCCGCCAATGCCGAAAATAATTCAAATATGGTGTAGTAAAAATGTCCCTAAATTAACATCAAGCATAGAATGTTTAAAAATCGTAAAGATGTAAACAAATATTTATTATAAATATGTTTTCTACTTAAAAGTGAAAACACATGCAATTATTATTCGTACGTTCAATTTTAGCAATAAAAACCAGAACGCTCAAGCAGTCAATGACTTATTGACGAAAGTTCTGTTAACTAAATAGAAAGTATTAAAGCAGTTAACGGGCAATCTAGAAGTTTCCAATTTGTTCACTTTTGTCGTTCCGATCATCAAAAATCATTTAGTATGTTATTATTATTTATTCCGCGCTAAACGTTTGAGGTCAGCGCAATCCAACGGATGAGATATTCGTAGCGCGGAGGCGTTTGGTTTAAGATACGCGATTCCTCGCTTAGTGCTTAGTAAAGCGTTGGATTTCGCCGAGGCAAGTGGTTTTAAGTTATTCGTATAGACTACAAGCAGTGAGATGGTCTGGCAAAAAGTGCTTGTGATTGCCGTTTGCGTAACCTTCGCCAACGCCGCGGTAATAAACAATTCCAAGAACGCGACCAATGTGAAAAACAAAGGCGTTTGTACATTAGAAGTGCCGTAAGTTGACAACATTAATAAATTCCGTGAATTTTAATATTATTATTTAATCTAGAACTTTAGATCTCATCCATGAAGACGAAAGAACCGGTGTGATTCCTCAAGGCAACGGTGTAAGTTTTATTTTTATATTTCAAGTTTTGTTAATTTTTGATTGTGAACGTCATCAACCAGACTCGTGCCGGGTACAGCACCATCCGAATTTGTTGCTCCGGCTACAGATTGCAAGACCACAGCGCTTTTCATTGCATCCCTGACTGTGGGGACCTTTGTGATAATGGTAACTGCACCGCTCCTGGCGTGTGTGAGTGCAAGAAAGGATACATCAAGGATAATCAAGGCCGCTGTGTACCTACATGCCCCATTGGTTGCCTGAATGGCGTGTGTAACCTGAACAAGGTGTGTTCCTGCAATAATGGCTACACTCTGGATCCCTCTGGACAAATGTGCCTCCCAGTTTGCCACGGCGGATGCGGAATTGGTGGCGAATGCAAGGCACCGGAAGTATGCGAGTGTAAACCAGGGTATGTTATCTAAGTATTATAAAGGAAGTAATCAAGGCCGCCATTTTGATTCACCATGTTATTTAATTTTCAGTTTTGAGAAGAGCGCACGTGGCATCTGTGAATATCACTGCGACGGAGGCTGTGATGGCGGAGACTGCATCGGCCCCAATAAATGTTCCTGCCGTTCTGGTTATACTCAAATAAAGGGCGTTTGTCAAGCGCAATGCGCAGGCGGGTGTAAAAATGGCGACTGCGTTGGTCCCAACCGTTGCGCTTGCAAACCAGGCTGGACTTTGGATAAAACCGGAACTATTTGCTCTGCTCACTGCGACGACCCATGCCTAAATGGTGAATGCACCGGCCCTAACGAATGCACTTGCAAGACCGGTTACATCCAGGACACCTTCAAGAAAAACCGATGTGTTGCACATTGTCCAGGGGGCTGCGAAAACGGCGTCTGCTCCGGACCCAACTTCTGCATTTGCAACCACGGATTTGTCAAACAATCGAAAACAAGCAACAAATGCGTGCATCGCGAGAGGCGTTCGGCTATGCATTTCGAGCTAATCCCACCTCAATATCATGTTTAACTATACAAAAGTGATTAGGAGTAGATTGAGGAGAGTTGACATCAAAGATAACCCCTTGGCCTCTTTGTACATTTGTCTGGTCGTGTTTACACGACGTTCGTATACGAGAAATAAACTGTTTTTTTTATTCTAAGCACGTTTAGAATTCTATACAGAACAGGTTTTTCCTCCGTTACTCACGCTACTCTGTTAAGTAGTAAACACTAATTAGTACATGTACACTAACTTAAATAGTATGGCCTGTAAAAAACTTACGAAATAATTATTATTCTGAACCCTGTAATGAAAGAAAATAATTTTTACATGAATGAATAAAACTAAGAAAATTTTTAACTGAGATTCCAAAACAGTTTGTACTTACAGTCGGATCACAATCCGCGCAATGCCACGAGTATCCGCGTTTCTTTGGTGTTTTCTTCAATGGAGGTTCTAGACAAGCAAAATGATAGTTCTTCTGACACTCGTCGCATCTGTGGACAAAACAAAATATTAAAACGAAAATAAAATACAATTTTCGGCATTGCGAACTCACTTGACCATATTAGCATTCGATCCATCTTCTTTGCACACATCACAACTACTTGCTGCAATTGCTGTTGTTGTCACAGTCACAGGCGTTACCGACGGTGTCACTGGGAGAAGCGACGACATCGGCATCGGCGGCACGTAGTTACTTTCGTTGTTCACGTAAAAACATTGCGGATTGGAAGTGGATGCCACTTCGCCCGCGGGCAGTGGGATCGGTTTTATCTAATTTTAAACAGATTTAACAAACTATATACAACCATTCGAGTTAGAATAAAATACCTTAATAGTTATCCGTGGATGTGGATTGGGATTCTCAATATCCAAACTCTTCTTCTTCCGTTTCCGCTTGTGCTCCTTCGTGGAGCCGCCCAACTCCGGCGAGTAACGATTGCGATGCTTTTCTCGGCGGCGCTTTTTCGACGATTTCGAGATCACAAGCGGATAAACCTCGGACGTGGTACTGTCCAGCGTGGAGTTGTTGAACGAGCTGGTAATATCCGCGCTCGTATCAATCCCTGGCGAAAACGAATTGTGATGTGGGGGTGTAAGAGTGGGTGTGATTGTAGGAGAAGGATATTTACGCACAGTCAATGTGACAGGACTCACCGGCGTCTCGCTGGGCTCGGGAAGCGGCAAAGGAGCTAGTGGTTCAACGGCAATTGGGTCTTGGGCGTGCGCAGGTGAGGGAGGTGTCGATGAGATGGGTGTGCTTAAAGGTGGTACGACCAACAATGGCGGGGCGGGTGTCACTGGTTTGATCTTAACGATAGGCGTGAATACTTCATCGAGACTGCCTCGACTGTGTCGCCCGCGACTCCGACGAGGTTGCTTTACTTGCTCCACCTCGCTGTCAGAGGTTTTGTCACACTCAGAGCATTGCCAGCCGTAGAGTTTCGATTTTTTCGGTAGGCGTGTAAGCGGAGGATTCAGGCAGTTGAGATGATAATACAGATGACACGTGTCGCATTTCGCCAGCATGTGCTGATCTCGTCGTTGTCGACAGATTCCACACTCGTTTAACTGGATTGGGTCTATTTTTCCATAAAAGTCATGTTTTATTAGTAAATTGGCATAAAATAATAGTAAAATGGTTGCCTACCTTGTTTCGCATGACTACTCAGCACTTTTCCACTCTCGTTTCGGTTTGCTGGAATGTTATTCAAAGGAAACCCAACACCCATTTTTAAAGCTGCTGCAGTAGGCACCATCATAGGCGTTGGCGCCGGCCTTGGCATCGGCGGTTTTCCCAAATCTTCAACATTCGGCAGGCGTGTGTTGGAACAACAACTCAAGATGGCCGAGTGAAATTTGTGGATTGTCTGCTTTAAATTGGCATTTGTTTGTTGTTCATCGGTACTTTCCTTCAGCAACTGATCATATTTCGCTCGCAGCTCGGTTTGTTCACCAAGCAGTACCTTATTATTATCGAGAAGGTGTTCCAGCGAATCTTTCATGCTTTTCAATCTCTCATTCCTATCTAAATAATACGCAACAAACTCCACAGAGAACGCTGGTGGTATGTGCCATTTTTTACGAATATCAACTAGCGCAGCCATTTGCGCTTCTTGCATTTCTAATGAAGGTGTGTCAATACCCATAAGTTCGGCTTTTCGAATCAGTTTTTTACACGCCGAGGCGCTTGTGGTTAAGAGTCTGGGCATTTTTTGAGTTGGAACTATACAGCAATTAAACGTCTTTCATAAAGAAACTATGAAAATGCGAACTTAACTTACCCCAGGGTTGTTGCCTTGTAAGCTTCAATGCCTTGTAATGCATCCGCTTTTTCTGCAGTTTTCTTTGAATCCGCACTTGTTCAGGCGTCTCCGTAAAACCAGCCGCCTCAAACTGCAGCTTACGGAAATGAGTACGCACCTGAATCGCGAGATAGTTACGTTTTCGTTTCTTCACCAAAGTTTTATCCGAGTGAAGTTTACAGTGCGCATAGAAAGGATCCGCTTGATCCACCTCTTCGGTGTGAGCCTCAGATAGAAAACCTTCTCGTTGAGCACTGGACAGTCAAGATTACAATTAAACCAATCAGAAAATAACGAAAATCTAACACCTACCATGTGACATGGAAATAATTACGACACATGCCCGCATCACACCCGATACACACGCCAGTCCGCGCAAATCGGTCTTCGACGCACAAAGAGCACGTCTTCGAACCCCATTTGCTGTATTGCATCTCAAAGAGTGTGACGCTTGACAATTTGTCCACTTCGCCAAACGCCACACCTGGTACATACAGTGCACATACAAGATGTACCCATTTTCCTACATCAGTCTCTTTAAATAAACCGCCTAGAATAGCAACAAATGCAATGTTTTTGTTTCTACTAACAAGATTTATTACACTTTACTCTCACCTGAATTTGGACATAATTCACATACTGGTTTAGTAACGCCCGCTTTGCAAGCATCACAAAACCAAGGAGTCGTCGGGGCTTCCGAATCGGTACTCGCCAAACTATTTGAATCCGAAATACCATAGCAGGCTTCATGTACTGTCACTCCACAACTATCACACTCTGCAATTTCGTTCACTCCATCACTCTGATCACCCAAACAGCCACAACAAATCAAAATATCAGCGTCTTTTTCACTGAACTAAAATTTAATATTACATTAAATTCAATAAAAAATGTGTGTTTTTAATTCTTACTCCAACATTTTGACTGGCTGCCTTTTCAATAATATCTGCAATGGAAAATCCATTACTGTTTGCAGTTAGATTCAAACTTTTCCCAAAGTTTGAAGCATCAGAATCCTCTGCATCATCATCATCAACATCAGATGAACTGTCTAAAATTTTATAAATGTTATTAAGCAGGTAAATTTATTAAAGTTGTGTCTATTTTACCATTGTTAGCATTACTGTCCACTGAATCATCATCGCTTACATCAGGATGATCTTCAATTCTAAAATCTGAGTCATCAGAACTCTCACCCAGATCAAAATCTAAGATCGAAGATTCCACGGGTTTCACACGTCGCTTTTTTGGATCACGCTCAACTGCGGAAAAAGGAATTGTCAATTGATACACAACAAAGCACAGTCTTAAATGCAACAGAAAATATTTGATTAAATAAAGAATGAGGTGCAATAGCGATAAATTACACCAACGACAGTGGGCTGATAACTGAGTGGTCATGTGCAAGACGTACGTGTGGTCATTTTCGGGCCTTTATCACAGAAAAATTCAACATTTGCGTGCCAAATAAATGATGATTTTCAACTCGGCTTCCCTTCGTGCGACATAACCTAAACGTATGGCGTTCACGGAGTCAGAGTCGGAGTACAGCCACGAGTAAAAGTAATGAGTTATTGATTTGAACCGGGAAAAAGTCGCGCTGCACGCGACGGCTTATTCGAGCTTCGCGCGTCGTAGGATGCGTTGGAGAGATCTTTTGAATGGAAGCAATGGACTTACTCGCTGTTTTCGTGATGAAATCGACGTCTTCGGCGTTGTCCAAATGCGAAGCCATCGTCGATACCGAATCGAAGAGGCAGCATGCACTCGCCAGCATCAAGCGCCTCACCACTGGCGATTCGGACGAAGAGTAGTCCTCTGCATGCGGCGTGCGATTGAAATCAAAGGACGCTCTGATGCACTTTGCAAATGTGCGTACGGCGTGAATGGCGATGCAGTGTTTACTTTTCGACAACTTCGATTGCTTGTTTGTTTGTTTGCAAACAATTGATTGAAAAATAAACTGAACAAAATTTCACAGTGTTAATGTATCAATAAAGATTGAAAATTTTAAAATAATAATAGCTACCTATACTTACTCGTGTAGTGGGGAGAAGTACATTTAAAGTTGCGAATGAAATCGGCACAACCTCTCTGCTACTTAGATGCTCTGCAAATCGTGTGTCGATATGCAAAATGTAACGAAAATTGTTTAGCACCTGCGCGTCATCTTTAGAAATCTGTAGTTGTAAATTGTGCCGCTCTGGCGATACTGTTAGTAACCTAACTTTTGCTGGTGACGTAATTATCAACTTATTATTATTCGTTGATGTTATTAGAATATTAATTGATAACACTGACAAATATACTGCGACGAACAAACAAAATTCGACAGCTAATGCACATAGTATCTTTCAAGGACTTGTTATTTCTTAGTAATGCAAACTCAAATATACATTTTGCAGAGGTCGCTAGTGTCGCTTCAAAACGCGCTGTCAAAAATTTTAAACAAAACCTTGTGTGTTGCCTAGCATATCTACGTTAATGACACTAATAAAAAAGTAACATTTTATTTTGATTTGCAATTATAAAAAGACATGACTATTATTGATTTAGGTTTTCTCTTGGGTTTGCCACGTTCACCACCAGAAATTACCAGAACCACTTCAATAAAAGAAACAAAAAAGAAGACAGCCAAAAGCAGTGAAAAATCAAGCGAATCAAAAACCGTAAAGCAAACATCCAAAAAAACTTTGAAAAGGTCAAATGATACAAAATCAGATACCGAAGAACCACCTTTGCCTGAATATGCCATTGAAGTGGGAAATCCCACAGGTTTTTTTCACATTGAGTACAAGTTGTTTCCTGATATGGAATCAGTTCACATCGATGTGCTTCATTGGGACGTGATTTCAAAAGTATGTATTAGCTGTCCAAAAATGTTTATAAAAATTTTATTCTTAATGACTTTAGATTTATTTTGAATCTAAAAACCTCATTTATAAAAATATGATTCGTGAGAATACGATTTGGATTCCAATTATGTTGCAATATAAAATTATGGAGCCATTGGAAGCAGAAACTTTGTTGAAGTTAAAAAACTTTGTGGTAGAAATTGTTATCTCACAAAACACGAAGAAAATGAGCAATGAGTAAATTGCACACAGTCAAATAGTTTTCTATAATAAACTTTAATATTTCAGCGCAAAGAATGAAAAAACAAAAATATTTTATATTAAAAAAGAAGATATTACTAACGAATGCTATGTGGAAGCATTTGAAAATGATCCCTATTCGAAAGAACAAATAGTCAGGCGGTCAATGTTACCACTTATTTCAAAAAAATACGTGCGATTTAGTATGAAACCAATATATTCAATTACGAAACCTCTTGGTAATTAATTTCAAGATGAAAAACGTATTATGTTAATTTTAATACTAATTTATTTTGTAGATGTTAGTTTATTACATTCTCGATTCCAGAAAATTATAAAAAGTTAGAAAAGGCGAAACAATTAATTGTAAACAATATGTCCCTCCTGCTCCTTCACCACTACCAGAAGAATATAATGTGGAACCAGCCGAAAATGATGTTAATAATTACACCTTTGATAATTCAAAACAAAACAAAATAGAAAATAATGATAAAAACGAGAAAAATAATACAAAACCTGGTAGAACCAGTACTAAAAAATCACAAAAAGTAAATAAAAACACTGAGCAAAAAATGAAACAGGAAGGCAAAATCCAAGTCTCCGGAGAATGTTACTTAACTGATGCTGCACTATGCACTTTAAGATTGAATGAGTCAGTTGAAAACATCAGCGATTTCTTCGTTATCTTATCAACATCAAACCTGACAACGCCACAACTGTTGAGTTCACTGCGACCCATCGTTATTAAGTTGAAATCCTTGAGAAACTTTCCGGTCGATTACTTGATCGAACAAAAGTAAGTACTTCGGTAATTTGCAATTAATCAGTTATTATTTTTATGCAAATTGCTTTCAGTCACAAGCAATTAAATACCACTCATAATCATTAAAACGACAGATGTAAAAACAATTAAACAATTAAAGATTAATTTCATTCCCAGTTGTCAATAGAAAAGTACTTAATGTGAAGTACAATCACACTAAATAAACACACCTTTTCTTTATCGATTGGTATTTATTTCTGTACGTGACTAAGAACAGATAAAAAACAAATTGCTAACGAAAATTACGAAAATTGAAGTGTAATGCTTTTATATTCAGACTTTTTCTATAGAGGACAATTTTATGATTATACTAGCTGACCCGGCAAACTTTGTTCCGCCTCGCTTTTCACGTGCAATTTCTTGTTCTTCTTCAGTCCTTTCATTCGCAATCCTAGTTGTATTACGGTTTTGTCGGATAAGATTTGATCGTTTTGGTCGCTGCATGGGAAGCTACGAAGCATCGCACAAAGAAGAGACGGAGAAAACTCGTTTAAAAAAAGTATCCTACACTTACTATGTCCTATTCAAACAAACACATCAACCGGGCAACTTCAACCAACACGTACACACACACGCACGTCTATGCTTAGGGGGAAGCTACGAATCGCACAAAGAGGAGACGTTATTAGTGTGCTCTTTTTCTCCCGTAGGCTAAACCATATAAGCGAATATGTTTGTTTCCTTTTAGTGTCGTTTAGTGTTCTCTAAAAAAGTTTTCACTTCAAAAAGTATCCTAGTAACCTTCTCCAAACAAAAACATCAACCGGTCAACTTCATCCCACACGTACACACATACACACGTCTATGCTTAGGGGGACGCTACGAATTGCACGTCTATGCTTAGGGGGAAGCTACGAAGTGCACAAAGGGCAGATGGAGATAAAGAAAACATTATATTTGTGTGCTCTTTTTTTCCCGTTGGCTAAACCATATAAGCGAATATGTTTGTTTCCTTTTACACTAATTTGGGTTGCGGTTTCCTTTAAAAATGTAACGTTTCACGCACGTCTATGCTTAGGGGGACGCTACGAATCGCACGTCTATGCTTAGGGGGAAGCTATGAATTGCACAAAGGGCAGACGGAGATAATAGAAAACATTATATTTGTGTGCTCTTTTTCTCCCGTAGGCTAAACCATATAAGCGAATATGTTTGTTTCCTTTTAGTGTCGTTTAGTGTTCTCTAAAGGAGTTTTCACTGCAAAAAGTATCCTAGTAACCTTCTCCAAACAAAAATATCAACCGGTCAATTTCAACCCACACGTACACACATACACACGTCTATGCTACGAAGCATCGCACAAAGATTAGACGGGGATAATAGAAAACTTTGTATTTGCGTTCTCTTATTCTCCCGCAAGATAATCCATATACGCAAATATGTTTGTCTCTTTATAGTGTCGTTTAGTGCCCTTTTAAAAAAGTTTTCACTTCAAAAAGTAACCTATTACCTTCTCCTGGCCCTAAGCTACCTCTCCACCAATTTTTAGCTAAATTGGATTAGCCGTTCTTCACTACATAGTATAAAGTAAAGTCGCTTTTTTTCCGGTCCCTTTGTATGCTTAAATCTTTGAAACTACGCAACGGATTTTGATGCCGTTTTTTTTTTAATAGATAGAGTGATTCAAGAGGAAGGTTTACATGTATAATAACATCCATTAAATAGTGGAGAAGTACTGTTATTTTTGAGGTTTCTAATGTGATGTCGTAAAGTTTTCGATTATTCCCGTCTGCTCTTTGTGCGATGCTTCGTAGCTTCCCCCTCCAAGCATAGACGTGCGTATGTGTGTACGTGTGGGTTGAAGTTGACCGGTTGATGTTTTTGTTTGGAGAAGGAAAGTCGCTTTCTCTGTCTGTCTCTTTGTATGCTTAAATCATTGAAACTACGCAACGGATTTTGATGCGGTTTTTTACTTCCGTGCGAAGCCGGGGCAGGTCGCTAGTTAGTTATAAAGGAGTTAACCAACACGACTTTTTTTATATATATATAGATTACGTACAAAATCATTTTTGAAGTGAAAACTTCTTTAAAATCGTTGTGATTTCAAAATTAATGAAACGACACTAAAAAGAGACAAACGTATTCGTTTATATGGTTTAGCCTGCGAGAGAATAAGAGAACACAAATAAACAGTGTTTCCTATTATCTTCGTCTCCTCTTTGTACGATGCTTCGTAGCTTGCCACAAGCCGCTTGATTCCGAATATTTTCGGAATATACTATAATATTATAGGGTAAAAAGCAAAAATGCGATTAAAAGTACTAAAAAGTGACATTTTTCAATTTTGCACATTTTAATTCTTAAGAAAAAATTGCCAAGGGGGGGTGCTTGATAATTTTTATCGACGATTTTCGATAATTAATATCTGTTAAACTAAAAGAGATAACAACCAACAAATACTGATTAAGATTATGAAAGATTGAAAAATTCTCTATCAGATAAAAATATAAAATTTTCAACACTAAAAGATCAAAAAACGCCACTAAAAGTACTAAAAAGGCACATTTTTCAATTTTTGCGCATTTTATTCAATCGCGAATATCTCGTAAACTAAAAGAGATAATTAAGATCGTAGCATCATAATCTACGGACTATTCTCTATAAGATAGGATAGTTAAAACGGAAATCGGAGAGATGATAAAAGATGCTTAATAATTTTTATCGACGATTTTCCATTATTAATATCTCTTAAACTAAAAGAGATAACAACCAAATTGCTGATTATGAAAGTTTGGAAAATTCTCTATTAAACTAGAATATCTTCTTCTTCTTCTTCTTCTTCTTTTGTAGGCATATTGCCTGTTCCTACTTCAGACAGGGTTTAGGTGGTCGCTCCATCTCTTTCGGGGTCTTCCCAGGGATCGCTTTCCCTTGGCGATTTGTCCCTGGCTATTCGGACTATTCTGGTTTCGTCCATCCGTTCTATGTGTTCGTTCCACTCGATTTTGCGTCTTTTGCACCATTGTGTTATGTCTTCTATGTTGTTGCACGCTCTTCTGATGTCTTCGTTCTTTATCCGGTCGAGCAGTGTTTTGCCATCTATGTTTCTTAGTGTCCTCATTTCCGCGGTGGTGAGCAATCTCTGTGTGGTTGTCGTCTCTGCACGCGTTTCTGCCGAGTATGTAAATATGGGCCTGACTACTGCCTTGTAGATGGAAACTTTCGTCTCTGTTCTTAGATGTTTGTTGTCCCAAATCGTGTTCCTTAGGCATCCTGCTATTCTCAGGCCCTTTTCAACTTGCTCTGCTACTTCTTTTTCCACTCCTCCACTGCTGGATATGTTTATACCAAGATATCGGAACTCGCTCACTTGTTGTACGATTTGTCCATCGACTTCAAGTTTGCATCTTATTGGATGTGGTGCGATGACCATGCATTTGGTTTTTTCTGTTGCTATCTCCATGTTGAGGGCTTTGCTGGCAATGTTAAACTGGTGAATCATGCGTTGTAGGTTGTCTTCGCTATCGGAAATTAGCACGGCATCGTCCGCGTAGCACACAACTTTCAGCTCTTTCCCCCCCATCTGGTATCCTTTACAGCGTCGGACTCTTGCAATTATCTCTTCCATGATGAAGTTGAATAGCAGGGGGCTTAGGGAATCGCCTTGTCTTACCCTGTTCCTACTTTTATGGGGTCTGTGCGTTGTTCGGCTATTGCTAGTTGCAGTTCGTTGTTGTTGTAGATGTCCCTTATAGTATTGATGATATCAGATGCGATGTTTCTTTTTCGGAGTATGCTGGTTATGTCTTGGGCTGCACTCTGTCAAACGCTTTCCTTAGGTCCACGAAGGAAAGAAAAGCCGGTTTGTTCCACTCCACGGCTTTTTCCTTCACCTGTCTTATTATGAATATTGCGTCGTTACAGGACCTTCCTTTCCTGAAGCCCTGTTGTTCGTCTGATAGTGTGGTGTGTGCTAATATCTTGTTCGCTAGTAATCGAGTTGTTAGTTTCAGGGTGGTGTTTAGCAGAGCTATTCCTCGATAGTTGGATGGTTCTTGCTTATCTCCTTTCTTAAACATCATTATTAGTGTGCTCAATTTCCATTCAGTTGGTACTCTCTGATGCTTCAGGATGATGTTGATAAGTTTCGTAATTTCGGCCGCGAGCACTTCTTCGCCGTATTTCAGGAGGTCATTGGGTATTCCGTCCGGGCCACTGGCTTTTCTGTTTCTGAGTTTAGCGAGTTCTGTTTCCACCTCAGATATGCTTACTATGGTTGGTTCATCAGGTTGTATGTTGACTGAGATATTAGGTTTCTCCTGGTTTGTGTCCCGGTATAGATGTTTGATGTAGTTTATCCAGGTCTCTTTGTCTATTCCCTTTGCTTGTACCAGTTCTGTGAGCTCTTTTCTCTGGTTTCTTATGGTCTTCCATACTGTCTTTTGGGTTCCATAGAAGTCATGTTCTAGTTGTTTTGAGAAGATCCTCCAGTGTTCGGATTTCGTCTTCCGTACTAACTCGTGCGTTTCTCTGCGGATTTGTTTGTAACTTTCGTATGATTCTTGCGTTCTTTGCGTGAGGTGTTGAATGTGTGCCTGCTTTTTTCCTTGCATTTCATTTTGATTTCCTCGGTGAACCATGGAGTTCTCTTAGCAAAAGGATTCGGTTTCTTGATGGTCTTCCTGCCTAGCGCTTCTTCGGCAGCCTGTTGTATGTTGCTTTTCAGCCTTTCCCATGCCGTATCAACGTTATCTCCTTCTTGTATGTTGTTGTTTGTAACTTTCTCCTTCAGTCTGTTTGCATATAGTTCTCTGGTTGTTTGGTCAGCTAGTCCTTCTGTTTTATTTTTGTGCGCTCTTCGCATGTTTTGCTTGTTTCTTTTGGAGGGATATTAGTCTCAGCTTAAACTAGAATATAAAATAATTAAATATCGTAGGGTAAAAGGTCGAAAAATGTGACTAAAAGTGCTAAAAATTGAAAATTTTCAAATTTTGACGATTTTTTACAATTGCGAATATCTCGTAAACTAAATTATTTTAATTTTATTTTACATTTTTATCGTATTTTAAACTCTTTAATTCTAGATTCTCTTCAGTTTACCTGCAATATAACATACCAAACATAGCAAGACATGAAACCCAGCCAATAATTCTGAAAGACATTAAAGATGGCAAAAAAATTCACGTAAATGAAGCGCATATTTTCTTTGATGTACCTCTCTCAGACTTCTCATCATTTGTAATCGATAATAGACTATTCGTTGAGGTTGGTATTTTAACTTTTAAGTTTGAACAAATATAAATTTTCTTCAATTTATAGTTAATTGGTGTTTATAATGACGAACCAGACCTAACTCCATCATTATTTGGCACACAAAGAAGCGATTTCGTCCGAATTCCCCACGTCCTTCGAAATTAATCTACACCAAACCAAAATCGCTTGTTTTAGCGGTTGCATGTTACGATCTCTCTCTATTTATTTACTCCAGAATGCATTTAGAACTAATCGAACCTCTCAGACATCCGACAAACACAAATTCGCTGAAAATCACAGCACCGCATCAAAATCTACAATTCATGTCGCCGTTGACAATCGAACAGATACATTTGAACTACCACCAAGACCATTACCCATCCCCGCTTGTCGATGCTGTGTTATTCGAAGAAGACACAAACTTACACATTCAAGTTTCTCTTGGTTTCAAACTAGATAAATTCATCGATGATGAATCCAGTGTAAAATACAAACGTCTCCTGCTGATTGTCTACGATCTTTCTATAGCCAACTATTTGATTAGTGATATTCTTTGTTACAATCAACAGTTTCATTCGAGTGTCCTGGTTAAAAACTTGTTTATGTACACAGAGAATATCAAAAACGTTGAAGAAAATGGAAATGAAAGTGAAACAAAGGAACAATTATTGACAGGATTCTGGATTGATAATGGCAACTCTATTATATTATTCCTAGAAGGTTGCAGAGCAAATTATTGCATGGAGATCATGCATTACAAAGTGAAATTCATGAATGAATCGTTATGCAGAGTTTATTATAACTCCGCAACGTATTTCTACAAACGGATTTATGAAAACTTTGTGGCGTTTGGAGGAATTTATAAAATTACACTTAAATATCAACTGCAGAAGATTTTCCAGGTGCAATGGACACATATCAGTAAATGTGTACCCAAACCAGCGTTTGAGGCATTGAAAAAACTGCAATATTTATTGGAAATGCCCTCGTTGAAGGTTATCAGTCAACATGCAGTGTTCCCGACTGTAAATGAGCTGTTAAGTTTCGATATGGAGTTTGGCGTACCACATCTAAATGACAAATTGAATTAAATCATTTTAATTCATTATAAATAGAAAATCTCAAAGAATATAATCAAATAATTTAATTTCCTTGGGTTTATCGTGGTTCTGCTTGCAGAAACCCACCCGAAACGCATTTTGTTGTCCCTGCCCATTCCAATTCAATTTCTTCAATAGATTTATAAGTGGTGTACCATTTAAATTTCCTAACTAGGACTGCAAGTGTAATAGAAACGTCCATCATTGCAAAAGTCACACCTGCAAAAATAAATTAGTATATTTAAAAATATAAACATTTGTTGCAAATTTTGTAACATTACCAAAACAGTTGCGAGGGCCACCTAAAAATGGAATATGAGCATAGCGGTGGCGTTCTTTAACAGCATCATCATTGAATCGCTCCGGATCGAATTTCATGGGATCAGGCCAATATAGTGGTGACCGATGGGTAGTTAAAATACTCAATATAATATGCGTATTTTTGGGAATCACGTGCCCATCAATTTCTATCTCATCGGTTGTGATTCGTGCAACATTACCCACAGGAGGAAAAATTCGCAATGTTTCGTTGATTACTTTCTTTAGGTAAACTAAACGTGAGATATCGTTGTGTTCAACACGTCGGTCTTCACCTAGAATGTCCATCACTTCCTCGTATACTTTTTCCTGCAATTAAAAACGAAATAATATGAAAGCTTCTCTTAACTAAACTAAATCTTCAGTTACGGCAGTCTTACTTGAATATTTGGATGTATCGCCATTGAAAGTAAGGCCATTGATATTGTAAGAGAAGTTGTTTCGAATCCCTGCAACAAAAACGTTCAAATTAAATTTTTAAATTCACAGAAAAGTTGAGCGCATGACATCAACTCCTTTATCAATGTTGTTGTGCATTATACAATAACTCACTGCAACGGTAAATAATGCTGCTTCGTTTAAAATTACTTGATCCGACAACTTCAAACTTAATAAGTGATCCAATATTTTGCGACGTTTAAGTGAGTTTCCTTCCACGGACACTTCAGTTTCTTCGAGTTGATGATAAATTTCCTTCCTCTCATTTATGAACTAAAAACCATTTAATGTTTGCCGTGCTTTTGTAGTATAACACAATAAAACCTACTTTTGGCAATATTTGCTGAAAATACGCCTGGGTATTCTCAATCAGTTTACTTTCCTTTGTCAATTTAAAAATAAAATCCCAGTGGGTGAAAATCTTTATAAATCGTAACACGACATGCGATGTCAGTCTAAAAAAATCCTACCATAAATTATGCATTTTATATTAATACTACCTACATGTTTATATGGTGCAGAAGTTGTTCACTATCTTGGATACGTGTCACTCCAACAAGCACAGCTGTAAGAAGATTGCGTAATATGCATAACTAAATAGACAAGTGATATTTCAATTACTTAAAAACAAGCCCCAGTTGTTTTTTGCTATAGCTGGTGCTGCATCGAACATTTCGTTTGGTTTGCTTCGGAAGAAATCCACCAACTTTTCAGCATATATGTTAACATCTTCAGTGTAACATCCGACCACTCCGTGTTGCATCAAAGGATTCAGCAATTTGCGCCGTTGCCTCCACAGGCCACCGTTTAGCAGTAATAAACTATTTTTAACAACTTCTCCGAAAAATTGTAGATGTATGACTTTTGCTGCGAATGGGGATGTTTGAGTACCACTTCCATGTGATGAGGTTTATAAATCCCTATTAATTTGATGCCCATAAAAAAGATCATTGTGCCACCTTCAGCACATATTCTCTCGAAAAACTCGGGGAGCTCTATGAAACAGAGTTATAAATGTTACAAAAGTTACAAATTTACAAATTATTTACTAGTACCTTTCAATCCTATGTTGCTGTATTTTAAAAAGCCCAAATGTCCTATAAGAGGAACATAAAAAAGCGACTTCAATTTTGGATACTTCCATACTAAATAAAATGAGCGCGCGTTGCATAATGCTACAATTAATAAAGTTAGAAACGCGATGCCGATTGCTAATTGAAGCAACATTTCGATGCTAGTTCACCTAACGCAAGAACTTGCAGGCCAAAACTTTATTGTTTATATACTAACTAGCGACCTGCCCCGGCTTCGCACGGAAGTAAAAAACCGCATCAAAATCCGTTGCGTAGTTTCAATGATTTAAGCATACAAAGAGACAGACAGAGAAAGCGACTTTCCTTCTCCAAACAAAAACATCAACCGGTCAACTTCAACCCACACGTACACACATACACATGTCTATGCTTGGAGGGGGAAGCTACGAAGCATCGCACAAAGAGCAGACGGGAATAATCGAAAACTTTGTATTTACGACATCACATTAGAAACCTCAAAAATAACAGTACCTACTTCTCCACTATTTAATGGATGTTATTATACATACAAACCTTCCTCTTGAATCACTCTATCTATTAAAAAAAACGGCATCAAAATCCGTTGCGTAGTTTCAAATATTTAAGCGAACAAAGGGACCGGAAAAAAAAGCGACTTTACTTTATACTATGTAGTGATGATTATATTTTTGGTGGGGAAATTTAGTGAACAAAGAGGTTTTTTAGTTTTTAATACGCTGGAAAGAGAAAAAATGTTGTAAATAATAAATTTCTTTTTAAGAAACCTTGATTTTGTTTTATTTATATGTTTGTTTACTATGAGTAACATTTTGTATGCATAATATGACCAAATATTTAATTGCTGTAATTTTTCGTATTTTGAAGGTTATGTAAACCAGATTAGGTTAAGAAAAATTTTTGTAGTATTAATTAAACTATTAATTTATTATACAAACTACGTCGCAACGTAACGTAAAGAGCAAACGCAAGCAAACTATGCCAGCAACATTTTAATTTATTGCATCTTACATGATAATTCAACTGCAAACTATAATATTTTGATAATTGTGTCAGTGTTAGTCTGTTCAGTAATTAAAAAATTTAATGGTACGCAAAATTTAAGAACATTTATATTTATATTAATCTACTGACGACGTATTAACAATTTTACAACAAAAAACATAACAATTCCACGTAATTTTTGTTTTAATTAAGTTTTTCGTAGCTCAGCACGTAATGGCACACCTTTAACACATTTTGTAGTAATGGACAACTCCAATTCTATTTCTTCAGGAGATTTATACGAAGTGTAAAACTTAAACTTTCGCACTAAAATTGCAAGCACGATAGTCATATTCATCATTGCAAAAGTTAAACCTATAAAAAAATAAAAACGAATAAAAATTTATTCCAATGTCAAGTAAATTATGCAATAATACCAAAACAATTCCGTGTTCCAGCCAAAAATGGAATAAAACTATAGCGGTGGCGTTGTTTGACAGCATCATCATTGAACCGCTCCGGATCGAATTTCATGGGATCAGGCCAATATAATGGTGACCGATGAGCTGTTAAAATACTCAATATAACCTGCGTATTTTTCGGAATCAGGTGCCCATCAATTTCTACTTCACCAGTGGTAATACGGCCTACATTCGTAACGGAAGGATAAAGGCGTAGTGTTTCATGAATCACTTTTTTCATGTAAACAAAGCGTGAGATATCATTATGTGAGACACTTCGATCTGCACCAATAATTTCCATCACTTCGTTATACACTTTTTCCTATAATTCAAAACAATGCATGATAATTTATAATTACGAGTAAACTAATGAAAGTATATTTTTTTACTTGAATATCCGGATTCATTGCCATTGAAATCAGTGCCATTGATATAGCAAACGCAGTTGTTTCAAATCCCTAAAAGAAATTATTTTTTGTGTAGTTTTTCACTAAAATACTAGAAAGATTTAAAGTGTAAACACTTACAGCGACCAAAAATAAATTCAATTCGTTTAAAATATCGGTTTCCGGTAACTTTAATTTAATTAGATGCTCGATTATCATGCGACGGCCCGTTCTGTTGTCATCAATCGCCGCGTCATTTGCCGTAATGCGTTGATAATCTTCTTTTCTTTTGTAGAAAAACTATAAAAAGAACTATTATTTGATGTTATTATTTTTATAACTCAAATATACATTTCTCATTATTTTATTTCCCAACTCCTCTGCGTGGTGGACAAGTTTTCCTTCTTTTGTCAAATTATAAATAAAATTTAAGTGTTTAGGAACTGCCAGTATACGCAGCATAACACAAGATGTAATTCTACAAATACATTCAAAATTAATAATAATTAATTAATAATTAATTAATTAACATACGTATGAATGCTATAAAATGCGTCTTTTCTATCGTCACTATTGTCAACACCCATAATAACATCTGAAATCAAAAATAAAACAAAATAGAGAAGTTTTATCTAAAAGGCAACACAATTGCCCAGTTATACTAGAGAACTAGAGTATTTGCAATGCTGATATGTTGATTGCATAAGTTCTCCGCACAACTGATCAACAGTGTTACCACTTTTCTTCACTATTTACTTATAAACATGTCCAGATTGTTTTTAGCTATCTTTATACTAGCATCAAACATTTTCCCAGCCCTACTACTGAATTGCTCAGCCAATTTTTCAGCATTTGCGTTAACATCATCAACGAATGATCCAATCACTCCATGTTGCATCAAGGGATTCATTAACTTGCGGCGTGTTCGCCATGCGTGACCATTCAAGCATAGTAAACTATTACCAATAACAGGATCCATAAAATTGTACAAGTAGGGTTTATCCTGTGTATTTGGATGCGTGAGTATCACTTCCAAATGTTCAGGCTTGTAAACTGTTACCATTTTCAAGCCCAAACAATAAACCATCTTGGGAGATTCTGCGCAGGTTCTCTCCACGAAATCATAAATGTCTGGAAAATTAAAATAAACAATTTTTATTTAAATTCTTTCTTTAAGATTTTTGATTATTATCATCTACCCTTCATTCGCATGTAGGAGTATTTTAGGAAACCTAAGTGTCCCAAGAACGGCACATAGGTAAACGACGTCAATTTTGGATATTTCCATGTCAGATAAATGGAATGCGTGTCGCAAGATTTAATAAACGTAGTTAATACTAATAAAACAGCGATAATTACTAGCAGCCACATTTTGTGGATACTAGCTGGGACAGTAAGAGTCTAACTTGTTATATAGTGATGCAGGCTTTAATTAACAAAAATGCGTCACAAATGCGTCTTTTGGGAGGAGATATTTCACAAATAATTTAAATATATACTCATAAAACATAGTAATTTGTTTTTGTGGGTTCAGAAAACATTTGCATATATAATGCTCAATTACATTATTTGAATCAAGAAATTGACGACCGGCTAGTGATTAATTTAAAAAATGATTTACGGGACGTATACAAAACCTTGCAAGGATATAAAAAGAATGTACATTTCAATGCATCGGTGAGTAATTAAATAATTGTGCATCAATTAATGACAGTCTGGGTTTTCAAGGAAGTAATATTTTCACTTTCTTTTAAGTACGTTGTTATTTTAATTTGCATATGTAAAGGAAAAATGTGAGCTGAATTTGTTGTTTTACATGTATGTAAATTAAATAATTGAGTAGTACTTAAATAATGAAGTGGTAATATATTCGCAACATTGTAATTGCTATGAATAACCATAGATTTAAACAAAGTTCTGAAAAATAAGTCGAAAATTGAATTTTCTTACATTTAATACAGAAACGAGAGCATGTTGTGCATGAAACGTAGTTTATAAGTAATAAATTTTACGAAAAAGCAGGTTGATCATGATTAAGATGTTGCTGACCTTCTGTTGTGTTGTTTTGCTGTTTAGTTATAAACAAAATATATTTTTATTAAAAACTACATTGCAGTGCCATCTATAAGTCATTTCAAAAATAATTTTATACATTTTTTGTATGAATTTCGTGGTATGAATAATATCTGAAAACATCCCAAAACATATAATAAAAATATAACAAGAAATAATATTTAAATTATTTTTATTCTTCACTTGCGGCAGATGGCGCCATAGAATACAAAATACCTGCGCGGTATTCCTGCAAAAATACAATTGAAGGTTATATTAAAGGTCGCTTATTTTCAGTTCGGTTATTCTTTAAAAATAGTGCTATACATTTAAAATGTATAACAATTGGAATAACAACTACCCTCCTCCTAACTTTAACTATCCTCCACCTAACGTTCCATACAATTATCCACCGAATTACACTGGTGAATATCCACAAGATCAAATGTTTCAAACTGGATATCCACCTTATCCTGAACCGCCTCCTTATTCATCAAGTGTTCCTCCTCCAGCATATAATTCCAACTATCCTCCACCAAATTATTATCCTGGCCAAGAATTTGCTACTAACTATGAGTCAAATAGTTATCTGCAAGAGGGTCCACAACCACAAACTTCAGGAGCATCTTCATCAAGCAGTTACAAAGATCAGTCTTCACAATCAACAAAAAGAAGATATGAGGATCGATCTAGAAGTGCTGGTGAATCTTCTTCCAGGAATAGATCTTCAAGATCTGATTATTATGACTCAAGAAGAAAAGCACAAGGATCAAGTTCAAGGTAAAATGATTCATTTGTTTATAATAGTTTTAAAATAACAATAATTGATGAGATTAGTTATGAGAGAAATAGGGATTCAAGAGACTATAGAAGAGAAGAAAGATCTTCTTCATATCACAAAGACAAGTATTCTTCTTCAAATAAAGACAGGGATCGATACATGCCAAGAAGTAGAGACTCCAGATCTAGTCTTGATGGGAAAAACAGACCAGGTTACAGCAGAGATACAAGACCACTCAGCAGAGACAGAAAAGATGATAGTTTATTATCTGAAAGAGATAGGATCCTTTGCAAATGGCAGCAGAATTATTGTGAGACCAGCGAACAAGTCAATAAAAAAATACAAGAATTGAGAGAAAACAATGAAGAATTTCTTGAAAAAGAAAACTTGATTTGGACGAGAACGACACCTTCCGATTTATTTTATGAGCGATGTGAAGATAATCCAAAGATTATGAAAGCAACGACACGATTAACAACTTTATGTGATTTATTCGAAGAGAATTTAGTAAAAAGAGCGGAGAAGATCAACGCTGGTAAACCAGAGTACATCCCACCACCAAGGAAAAATCGTGCTAGATTGTGCAAATTGAAATGTATCTCTTTAAATTTAATTTTAAATGTTTCAATTCATTAGTTTATTTACAGTTGAGATGTCAAGTAGTTCTGGTAGTTCATCTGAAGAGGAATTAACCGATGAAGAAGATTGTACCATGGAGGAATTGACACGCAAACAACAACATCCATATAGATTACACCAGGAAATGTGGTATAACGATCCGGGTGAGATGAATGACGGTCCACTGTGTCGCTGTTCGAATAAATCGAAAAAATCCGGAATTCGACACGGAATTTACCCAGGCGAGCAGTTTCTGAACTCGTGTGACACCAACACGAATAACGCGGATAAACTTTATCATTATCGTATAACAATTTCGCCTCCAACCAATTTCCTTATTAAAATACCTACTTTTATTCAGCATGACGGTCATGAGTTTATTTTCGAAGGGTTTTCTATGTTTTCGCATTCGCCTTTAGTCAAACTACCGATTTGTAAAGTAATTCGGTTTAATATTGAGTATACTATTCTATACATCGAAGAAAAGGTGCCTGATTGTTTCACTGTGAGAGAATTGGACTTGTTTCGTAAGTTGATTGCGTTTTATTGAAGAATATGATGTTATTGAATGATTTTGTAGACGATTATTTATTCAAAGAAATTTTGGAGCTTGTTGATTTGGATTTCAAGGCAGCCGGAGATAAAACCGGCTGCTCACAGTTTCACTTCATGCCACGCTTTGTGCGTGATTTACCAGACAATGGTAAAGAGATTTTATGCATGAAGGAAGTCTTGCAGTATTTATATGATAGTTCTGTGCCGTTGATTGAAAGCACAGCATTGAAGGATATGATAAAGATGAGTCAATCGGAGTGGCAAAGTTATGCCGATGAAATTAAGGTAAATTTCATTGTTTTATAAAGTTTTTTTTGCAAAATAATAATATTTGGGGGTTTTCAGGGCATGGTTGTTACATTCCCAGGGAAGAAACCTTGCTCGGTGCGTGTGGACCAATTAGATAGAAACATTGACTTGCAGGAGGAAGGAAATTATAAGTTTCCGGAGATAGTGCACTTTGGCATACGCCCACCGCAATTAAGCTATGCAGGCAATCCAGAGTAAGTATAAATTATGCATTTTAGGTGATAATAAGTTGATTATCTGGGTTCTTTTCGAAAGATATCAAAAAGCATGGCGTGACTATGTTAAATTCCGTCATTTACTGGCAAATATGTCGAAACCAACATACGAAGACAAACGCAAACTAGAAGCCAAGGAAAATAAATTACAAGAGATGCGAACACAGAACAAGATGAAGCGGGATGTGACTGTTGCTGTTTCAGCTGAGGGATTCTATCGCTCGGGGATTATGTGTGATGTTATACAAGTTAGTAAAATACTATATTTACATAATATAGTATTATATGTGTGCTGTATTCTTTTCCAGCACGCAATGTTAATCCCAGTTCTTGTCTGCCATCTTCGTTTTCACAACTCTTTGAATATTCTTGAACAAACATTAGGTTACAAGTTTCAAAACCGCGCACTCTTGCAACTTGCCCTCACGCATCCTTCTTACCGCGAAAATTTCGGTACTAATCCTGATCACGCGAGAAATAGTCTCACAAACTGCGGTATTCGTCAGCCTGAATATGGCGACCGACGTATTCACTACATGAATACCCGTAAACGCGGCATCAACACCCTAATTAATATTATGTCACGTTTCGGGAAACAACACGAAACAGAATCTAATATCACTCATAACGAACGACTTGAATTCTTGGGTGATGCTGTCGTTGAATTTCTTTCATCTATACACTTATTCTACACTTTTCCAAATCTAGAGGAAGGCGGTCTGGCCACTTACAGAGCCGCCATTGTTCAGAATCAACATTTGGCTGTGTTAGCAAGGACTTTAAACCTTGATCAGTATATGCTTTATGCGCACGGTTCGGATTTGTGTCATGATCTTGAACTGAGACACGCAATGGCGAATTGTTTCGAGGCGTTAATGGGCGCTTTGTTCCTCGATGGCGGCATTCAAATCGTTGACAAAGTGTTTTCGGAAACACTATTTAAATCCGATCCAGATTTATTGGACATGTGGGTAAATTACCCACCGCATCCATTACAACAGCAGGAACCCCTGGGCGATCGTGAATGGATACCGAAATTTGATCTCTTACAAAAACTAACCAACTTTGAGGACAGCATCGGCGTTGAATTTAAACATATTCGCTTACTTGCGCGTGCATTCACCGACAGAAGCGTGGGTTTTACAAATCTAACCCTGGGATCTAATCAGAGGCTTGAGTTCTTGGGCGATACCGTTTTACAACTTATTGCTTCCGAATACTTGTACAAATTCTTCCCCGAACATCACGAAGGGCATTTATCCGTAAGTTTTCCAAACGATCGAAAAACTTTTCATTTAATTCGGTTTTAATGGCCTGCAGTTGTTGAGAAGTTCACTAGTCAACAATAGAACGCAGGCGGTGGTGTGCGATGACCTGGGGATGTCGAGCTATGCGGTATACAACAATCCAAAAGCGGATCTAAAGACAAAGGACCGTGCGGATTTACTGGAGGCTTTTATTGGTGCTTTGTATGTGGACCAGGGACTGCTCGCGTGTGAAGTCTTCTGCCAGGTAACGTTGTTCCCGCGTTTACAGGACTTCATCATGAATCAGGATTGGAACGATCCAAAATCAAAGTTGCAACAATGTTGTCTTACTTTGAGGACCATGGATGGCGGAGAACCGGATATTCCTGTGTACAAGTATATAATCAAAAAGTTTGCGTTTTTATAGAAAAAACATAATTTTTGCAATAATTTCAGAGTTATTGAGTGTAAAGGACCAACTAACACACGAGTGTACACAGTGGCGGTGTATTTTCGAGGTCGTCGACTGGCTAGTGCAGTAGGTCACAGTATTCAGCAAGCAGAAATGAATGCGGCTAAGAAAGCTCTTGAAATATCACATGGTACATTGTTACAGATTTGTTTGAGGAATGTTTTGAATTTGAATTTGTATTTGTGTGTGTTTTGCAGATTTATTCCCGCAGTTGGATCATCAAAAGCGTGTGATTGCCAAAAGTATGAAGAAGCAAAAGCCGGATAGTAAGCGTTCTAGATCTCGTAGCAAATCGCCCACGGATATTATGAACCCTAAGTCACCGACGAGTTACTCCAAGCATCGATTCAAGGAGGATTCGCCGGAGAGTTCTACGTCACCTTCCAATGACAGTTAGAGCGACATTTTAGTTTAAAACTGTGTACGATTTATGCAAATTTTAATTTGGGGAGGAATTAATTGTTGATTGAATGATGGATGGCCATAAAAATATGAAGGTATAAAAATAGTGCATAGAAATAAAAAAGCAATTAATTCAAGAGGCTAATTGTTTCGATTAGTGCGGCAGTAGTTGGTCGGCGTAATGAAGCGCGAAGCGTGGTTTGGCCGAGGCTGCGTGGCCAACAGGTGCAGCGGCTGTGGCAGCGGCGGCGGGTTCTAAATAGATCGACCGGAATGGCGGCCGGGGCGGCGCGCGCGCGCCGACTATTGATTCCCGCAGCGGCGGCGGCGGCGGCCGCGGTCCGCGCCAGCGCCAGTTCGTGCCGGCGCGCCGCAGCCCTCGCATGCGACCGCACCGCCGCTCGCGGAGATCCCCCTGCACAGCCGAAGCGCGCGCGCGTGTGTTGGGTGAACGGGAGTGGATGCCTCGACCGACGTTGGAGGCGCCCGGCAGCGCGGTATGACGAGCGAAGACGCGGCCACCGAGCCGCCGTCGCTATCGGACGCCGCGTTCAACGCCACCGTCGGCGACCCGTGCCTCGTCGTGCGGAAGTACTGGTGCTTTCTGCTGTCCAGCATCTGCACGTTCCTAGCGGGCCTGCTCATCGTGCTGATATGGCGCGCCTTCGCGTTCCTCTGCTGCGCGAAGGAGGCGGAATATGGGCCCAACGACCCCAAGCAGAAGGAGCAGAAGGCCGCGCGCGGCAAGCAGGAGTTCGAGGGCACGTTCATGACGGAGGCCAAGGATTGGGCGGGAGAACTTATCTCGGGCCAGACCACCACCGGCCGCATCCTGGTAGGCACCGGCAGAAGCCACTCACTTCACCGACACACTTTCCACCCTCTACGCCATGCAAGAGGGCGTAACCTGACCAAGGGATTAACCCCCGTCCAACGCAGCATCCGCGGCGCGTGAATTTCCGTGAATTTTCTTTATCCCCCGAGTCACGGCTGCTGCGTGCTCCGCAAACTTCACCCTACTTTCGATTGATACGCTGGCCTTTGTGTCAGTGCCCGCGTTCCCCACATTCCAAACAACCCTCAACATTTCAACCCTCGCGCATTTGCCCCAATTCCGCGCGTTGCGGTGTGTTTTTGTTCGTTGTTTCGATTTTATCGCATCCTGCGAGGCACGCGCTGTTGGAAACGATAACGACTTTAATTAACATTTTCTATTTGCATTGTATTCTTTTGCGTCGACGCTAGACTGCGACGTGATGCGATGCATGTTTCACGCGTGTTTATCTCCTCGACACACGGCGCAAACAACGGGCGAATTTGACTAAAAATAAGTCGCCAGCATTAGAAATGTCCTGATCGCTCGGCGGCGATGTGCGCGTGTCGCATTCTGTCGCCGTGATACACGCTAACAATTTATATTTACACAACATTTACGCGAAGGTGCGTCGCCGGACGAACTTATTTTCGTGTGTACGAACGCCAGTGGCGCTAAATTGCGCATAACGTGTTTATTAGGTAGAAATTGAAATAATTTAGGTCAAATTTTGACTAAACTAACAAAATTTGTCAAGCACAAGACCGTGAAATGATTTTTTGCATCAGTTGCATACGAATAATATTGTCGACATGATAAATTCAGAGATTCCAATGTATTTTTTCGTATGCCATTGTAATCGAACAAAGCTTCCGCACTGACATTCGCGTTCGCATCGAAAACAATGAAATTCGCTCCGAATATAAACAAGCTCAGCGTCGCATTGCACCACCCGGGAGCGTATTGCTAATAAAGCCTTTATTGAGTGATTGCTGCGGTTAAACGTAAACATTTCCAGGACTGTTCAATAATAGCGCGCGTGCACATACAATGAAATTCTGCGCTTATATTAAACTCCCGCATAGCTCGCATTTACTGCTGCAATTTTACTTCTTCTTTTCTACATTCCAGCGCAGTCGTGCTGCTTGTTTTTGTTTGCATTGCGTTACGGCTTCCGTGTCGAGCGAAATATAAATACGCGTCATATTTTCGGAGCTTTATGCTGCGATTAATCATTTTAAGCAGCTCTTGAAATGTGCACTCTTCGTACGCCCAACTATTGTAAATATTTGCTCGATACATCATCGAGTCCATAATATAAAGTAATGATAAAGGATTAATTTCCCTTGGGAAGCCAACAAGTTTCGGATTTTTATCATGATCAGATGATTTCTAAACAGTAAATCTCTTTGTGCACTTATTGTGCTTTGAAAGCTCACTCAGCAGCATCAAAACACGACTTAAACATGTCATCAACGACACGTTTCTTAATTTATCCACCGTTTTACTTAGAGATTCAAAACTCCAGAGTTTTAAGCTGTAGTGTCTTCTTAGTTGATTTAATTGTGCATTTTTGGAATGCGTTGTTTATTTTTAGTTCTTCGGCGCTGATCATTGTACTAGTTGTAGAGTTCTACGCGCGGCGGCGGCGGCTTTTTGTGCCGCGAGTTTTGAGCGGTGGATAAAAGCACACGCTTCGAGAATGTCTTTGAACTTTTCGTGGCCGGGTGTTCTTCGAAGCTCACAGGCGCGCGCTTTACGAGGTCATAACTTTTATTGGATTCCGCTGCGGCCCGCGGGGACTGCATCGACGCGCATCTTGCGCATCCACCATTCGTTTTTTATGTTTCACCTTAAACACAATTGGAGGTGACCTACGAAAAGTAAAAAATTACAATTTACAATTACATTCAATATAGATGCAATCATCAATAATTCTATTTGTATATTGTCCACAGCTGTGGCTGAGACTTATTATACATAATTATCAATTCATGTATCTTTCAAATGTTGTTTACCAGTGAGTGAAAAATTGACCATAAGTTACTTCCACAACGTTTGAAATCGATAGCAGATAACAGAGACCACGTACCGATAATTACGCCACCGCGTGCATTAAAATACAATGAATCGATAGCAATGTCGGCCGTCCTCGTCGCTTAGAGACACACATCCGGCGTGTACACACACGTGGCTTATTACTTTTTCAATATGTATTAACATTGCCTTTCAATTAATAATTCACGACCGGCGGTAGCAACTTCGGCGAAAGTAATACGGTAAAATGACTCACTAAAAACATCAATATAGCAATTACTCTTTTTTATTGTTTTCATGATACCATGATACTACCATTGACAGTCGTAATTGTAATTCAAATACGCTAATGGTGTTTGCAAAGCTAAGCAATTTTCTCCACGCTCGATTACGTTCACCTCACATTCTTATTCCGATGTTATGTCACTGAGGTAGTCCGGTGACAAGCGCGGCCAAATTGGCAATTTGCAAATTTGCACACTTACATAATATTTGCATAAGAAATGAGCGCCACATCCGCCATTCAGGCGATAAAAATTAATGCTTGTTTTGCTGCTGAATTAATTCTTTCCTTTTTCCCTTTTTTGCCGCTTCTACAAAGTGTTGCGAAGTGTAATAGTGTTGATAAGAGTCAAGAGGTATGTTTAGTGGGAGGGTATAATTTTTTACACGCATCCGGTGTAATTATAGATGAAACGAAAAAAAAGCGCTGGAAAACTGGAAAAGAGCGGCAATTAATATATTCCGGAAGGAAATGTGGGTCGCTCTTGGGTAATGAAAACCAGTCACGCGCGTGCAGCTTGATATAAACGTCATGGGACATTTTTGATAGCAAAATATTTAATGAAAATTGATTTATTAGGAAAACAATTCAATTTAAGTAAACTTTTCTGTCACAAAATAATTCCCTTAAAGTTTATTTTAAAATATATTGGTGTATTTTGTGTGTAAGTTGGGAAATTTGGTATTAATTTCCGTGTCGCAGGGAAAATTGCATGTCGATTTGTAAATTTCGCTCCAATTCCTGTCGGAAGGCTCGCTGTGCAAATCCGGCGCGAATTTGCCACGACCTCGTCGCGCCTGTAAAGGATGCGAAGGCTGTGTCCCCTCATCCCTCGCCCGCCGTAGGAAATTCACAATTTCACGACAGAGCGGGGGCGCACGCATTAATGTGCTTTCGTTATACACGTCTAACGAACGCCGTTGTCGCCGCTGCTACTGCCGTCGTCTCGTCACGCGTACGCATGCATGATGCTGCCCGTTCGCCGCCGCCGGGCCGCCGCGCCGAGATAAATTAACTTCCCTTATACTTTGCACTCGTTCTCGGTGCTGGCTGCCGTGGGACGCGTGTTTCATTAAAGCATTAAATTCACCGGTGGCAATTTCCAGTCGCGCCGAAGCTTTCCACCTTTCGCTTTTCCACGCTTACATTGTGTAATGCGTTACATCGCGCGCTGCATGGCATGTTACACGTCATCAGGGGATGTGTTCTGTTTCATGGTGCGCATTTTTTGATTCGCACGTTTAACGGTATTATTCGTTGAAATCTCTTTTGTAACAGACAATACAAATTATATGATCAACCAAATCTGCACTATCAATGTGATATATATGAAACATCTAACTTTACTGTCATATAAAGAATACTAGCGCCATCTACATAAAAATTTCACACTAATATATGTTATGAAACCCACAAAACATGCAAACAATATAAACTCACAGTAATCCTCTGATACGAAACTATTTGATGCGAAATAGAACAAGAAAATGTGTTTGATGACTTGGCTGTGCGTGCCTTTGGTTTATCGGAAAATCGAAATGTAATTTGTAGCAATTTGAAGGTCCCATTGTGTTTTGCTCGTGACGTCAATTTGTCTCCACGCCGTACTGATGTAGCAGCGCAAAGGGCGATGTCTATTTCAATCGACGGTCGAATTTTTCACGCCACGAAACAAAGCTAACCCTATACTACACCAAAACTTTCTGTTTCATTAGATCCGACTGCGATAAGTTGTGTAGCTAAGCAGAAACAGAAGCCGAAACAAAATCACTAACAAATGTCGCCGATATCTTCATTTCCACTGCATCACTCAAAACTCCAAACGAAATGTAGAACAAGTTATATTATCTGATAAATGCCATAACATTGTGTAATCGTTGGACTGCATGTCACCGAATGTGTGCTACCATAACGTGAGGATAATAGTGCGCGGCGGATAAAGGGAAAAATCAATTTTCTATTTTTAAGGCCGCCGTACAAAGTGGAACGTCGATGTTTGTCCATTACACCACCGACGGTACACTTTTCACTGCCATTATTAATTCATAAATATCTATAATAATTTATTAATCCCTCGGCAATGTGATGAAAACTTGTTTTAATGCGCTAGCGTGTGTTAATACCATCGAGACCGGCACAAAACGCGCTGTAATTAAGAAAATTAAATCGTAAAACAATATACGGCTGGCCTTGCATCGCGCATACACTGGGCAACCCCTACTTTTGTTATTTCCTCAATTCATTTTCATCGTTTCGGGCGGCAAACTCTCGTGATTAGGTCCCCTATCGCCGAGCCACTCGTATTATTTATACAGTTTGAATATTAAATTGTTTGCTCGGCGGCGCTCGGTCGAATTAGTCGGATTAATATCGTATGCAAATGTCGCGTTCGGGCCGGCGACGCCGTAGACGCGCGATTAAAAAAATATGCATATTTGGAGTGCGGCCAAGACGCCGCGCGGCCGGCACCGACCTGATCGCGTTATATAAAGCTCGAGCAGCACGCGACGCCTGCCTCCTTCGCTAATACGCGAAGAATAATACTGAAGGAAACAGGATTTGCATATCGCTGCATGCCGATCTACAAATCATCGCTTTGTTTCGCGTTTTGTGCGTGCACATTTCACGCATTTGTATGCATTCACGGATATTTGATGTTTATAATAACTAAAACTAGTATTATTAAACTTAAAAGCCATGT